ACCCGCCACTATCGAAGCTAGCAGCAGTGTCGGATCAGCCTATATCAAAGGTAGGAAGGTCAACAATCGCAAAGTCAACTGTCGCGAATGTTGACCATCTGGACCGACGATTGACTTACCATCGAGGAATGGCAATAGGCATAACCGTATGTACTGGTTACATGCAGCGACTCAGTAACAAGAAAGGAAGTGCAATAGTCAGAGTACCTGTAGAAATGCTTGTAAAGCAGTTAGAATCAGGGAATGTACCCCTCTGAGTACATCGCTAGCTAGAGCTATTTATTGTGTGTGTAATCTTTGCCTTAATCAACTTGGTCATTTATATTTCTACGATCTGAGTTCCTACAACAAGAATTCCGCTACCAAACTCTTCTCAAGCATTCCTATCCTATCCAAGGTCCTTATTCTAACAGTGTGCTTGTGGATGAATGCATTGGCATGTACAATATGTGCAAACTAAGCCATGCTTGTTGAAAATGTTATTGGTAGTTCTTGTCTTGAGTTCTTAAAGAGAAGGGTTTGTCCACTCTGATTGTTCATTAGGCCTAGTATGTGTTTTGATTGCATAGGTATTGTTTGTCCGAATCCTAGCCACTAACCACAGGGATAAAAGGGCTTGATTGTGAGACGGGTGAGTGCGCCCATAACCCCCCAAGCCAACGTGACTGTAACCCTTCCCTAGGATCAATCGGGAATTTCAAGTGCACCTCTAACACCCCCCCGCACTGTGATGCCCGAAGTGCATATTGAGATTCGAACCTAAGACCTTCGCTCTCATACCATGTCAGAATCCTAGCCACTAACCACTGGACTTGTTTATGTAGCGGGTGAGTGCGCCCATAAAATCCCAAGCCAACGTGCCTGTAACCATTCCCAAGGATCAATCGGGAATCTCAAGTGCACCTCTGACAGTGTTGATTTAAAAGTTGCCGGGTACCGATTCTACCATTTGTTGTTACCATTTGCTCTACCTTTTATATCTCACTGATCGTGCGAATGCTGCACAACAGTGCACGCAAATGCTGTTTGAGATGTGTATTAGTGGAGCTTGTTTCCAGTGCACTTCGTGTTTTCATGAACATGCATTGTTGAGAAATTATGCTGGTACAATGACTGACAAGCAACTAATCCTCAATATTGGCTGGTCTGTGAACTTGGAAACCTTGGGAATCCGTATGCTTCTCGAAAATCGGGATGGCACTCGGCCGTTGGTCTATCAGCTACTCTCAGCGTCAGCATGAAGCTTCATTGTTGTTCATTCACATTCAGGTAATTCTGTGTCATCGTTTGTGTCTAACCATTCTAATTCCCAAGTCGAGATTGTCCGGGTTATGAAGCAGCTTAGCATGGTACCTGTAGACTTGATCGATATGACCGGTTATGTACTCGGGAATGTGAGGTAGCTTTCGGCGATGGATGGATTTGGTCATGATCGATCGAAGGAGAGATGCTCTGCGGGAAGATGGCTGATGCGTCCGTGTAATGCGGGACGACAGCCAGTTGCGGACAGGAGTAGGGAGCAGGATGGACGACAGGAGGACCAGAGAAGTAATAGATTCTGCAATCTCGTAACGACCCGAAATCCGTCCGACGGGTGCCTAGAGACTCCATCCCCTCGCAATATTTATAATCATGAATATCCGTTACGGGACGACGGAACCAAGCAGGAGCACGAGAAACGTTTCTCCTTACCGCACGGAAATTCCTCGCTTCCACTACGCGACGCGATTCCTAGCGGTTTCGACGCGAATCTCAGCGGCTTCCGTGGAAATTCCTCGCTTCCGCTACGCGACGCGACTCCCAGCGGTTTCGACAGCGCCGAACGCGGAAACGTCCGTCCGGATTGTCGCCGTGTCTCACGCGAGTCGGAGGAGCCACGTCGCCCAGATAGTCCTTTCGGCGCTTCGGATGCATCCTCTCGCTCATTGCGCTCCGTCGATGATGGATTTTGTGCTCCTTACAATCAATTTTAAGACGTCATAAATAATTTCTTATCACGAATAGTAAATGATGAGAAGTACTGTGCACTCCTGACAATAGCAAGCTAGACATACAGGAAGGATTACGAAGACAAAAATGCAAGATTACGCGAAAGGTCGCGTACGGTTACGAAGGATCTGGACTGTCAAGGCAGACAACATCGGACAACTAAAGTGGCGAGGATTCTGCAGGAACAATTTGTAACCGTCTGGAGTCGCAAGGTTGGATTTCATTGTGATATGGAAGCGTACCCCTTTGAGTGGTACATGGTTGGTTAGGTCGTTTTGTATTCCCCAATACTCCTATTCATACGAATGTATTTGCATGTTTTATCATCCCAAACATTTTAAATCAGCTCTAAACACTCTATCATTGCGAACCTTCCTGAGTAGATCCTAGGGACGATCAACTTCTGATCTCAACAATTTCAGTATGGGGTTTCTGGGGTGAGAACAGTTACGGGTTGGTTCTTTAAAAGCAACGTACATAAAAAAATGGAAAAAACGAAACAAAACGGTTGAAAAAAAAATCGAAGCATCCACAGAGTAATAAAAGTAATAAATGTTCGGTTTGATTTATAAAAGAAATGGCAACAGCGTTGAGAACATCATAACAGGTGAACTAGATAATATGGGCAAGCCCAAATCGTATACATACAGTAGTGACAACGCAAGCCCCTCATTCCCGAGCGTCCACCAAATACAGATTATTTAGAATGCCTTCTTTTTCCCATTATCCAACCCTAAACACTTCTCCCTCTTTCCCCCAACCCACATCCCCTTAGGAATGTAAATTCTCCTCCATTGATAAAGACATGAACCTATGTGTGCATATATTATTCCACATAAATGAGTTGTGGTATAACTAGTATTGAAAACGCTGTTAATATGTGATTTTATGGAATTTCACAGCAGAACAAAAATGCATGACTCCTTTGAAGAAAGAAGTTTCTAACGTAATTTCGTTCGAGGAAGGGATGAACCTGCATGATACTAGAAGGTTGTCGTTTTGCCGAAGATGAGCTGAAAGTGGGAACATGATGGACACCTGGCAAAAATGTCATGATTGCATGAGCTCTGGGCAACAGTTGAAAGGAGCTGCTCCCACAATGTGGTCAGTGGACTGTAGTTTTTTACTGTACACTTAGGCCGCAATCCATTATTACTGTCCAGTCGTACCTCACTGTATTGTTCAGATTCAAAGCAGTACTGTTCGGTTACAAAAACAATTTTTAGCGTTCTGAAGCGGGCACTTGTCACGCTTTGTGCTAAGGAATTTTGTGATTGTTCATCTCCGTCGCAATTCCAAAACATTATGCTGCCAATAGCCAGGATCTTTCTAGGTCTCACATCAATCTGCATTGATGAGCATAATCGTGAAACGCGTCTCTGAGCTGTGAGCAACGCGGTTTGCACTGCCTTGGTTGCGGTCTTGTCAGGACGAATAGTTGGTGCGTCCACGGTTACTTGCAGGCTTGGCCAATCAATGGAGCCGGTCAGCAAATCACACAGCAGTGGCTCCTGGCGTAAAGATTTTGCTGCCTCCAAACTGAAGGGAGTCAGATAATACAGATTCATTGTGCTGTACAGAATACAGTGAAAGTGTTAGAGCTGTTGATTGGTTGCTGCTGCTGTTTTGTGCTGATTTTTGCATAGGGCTAAGTGTTGCGTTAGGGTGTGTGCTGTTTTAGACCCTCAACTCAACTTGCACTTGTGAGGGAGCCTTCTACAGTGGGAACTGTGCGTGCCTTGCTCGCAGGAGCCTCATCCCAACACCTCGAGTTTCTGCTTCCGCACCGAGTCACCACACCGAGTTTATCCTTTTGGAGTCGTCCTCGCTCATAGCCACCCGTCCACCGCACAGTGCAAAAACCAATCGCCAGTCACCCCAAGTGTACACAATCTCTACTGCCGATTCACACTATTCCACCATGTCTGGAGGTCTCTTGCTGTGAGGTTTCAAACAATGGAAAATTCCACCCCCACTTAAGAAGAAACAAGTCTTTCATTGTGGTGTACATTCATTTTTTAGGCCTTCAGGTGGTCTCTTCCAGCCCGCTTCTGTAATGTTTTATGTTATTTACTGCAACCAGTATTCTCTTGACATTCAAGGGGCATGCAAAACCATAAATTAAGAGCGCCCATGCCTTCACCCCATTCTGTACCCTGCGCAACGACCTTTCCGCGCAGCACCCGCACCTCCCACTTGGGATTCCGCGCGGAGCCGAGCAAGCGGGGTGGTGGGGGTTTGCATCCTCTACACTGTGCCCCACTACAGCAAGCAAGCGCCCCCTGCCCGTCCCTCCCCTCCCAACCCAACCAGCTCCCGGCTCCCCGTCAACTGCTGGGGTTGAGGGGTTGCGTGCAGCGAACTACTGTGCTTCCTTGTGCGGCGCCATTCAGCCTGTTTCTTTTCCTATTTGTGGGCATCTTCTGTTCAGCTGCGCTTCACACACTTCCAAGCAACACTACATTTGAGCCCAACCGAACAACACGGCGACAAACTTATCCCACCCACACCCTGCAAATACCTGCTCCACGCCCGTCTCTTCGTGCATGACCAACCAACCCCCCCTACCCTGTTCATCAGTGTAGCTCCCAGCAAAAGCTCAGATCCGACAGCAGCAGCAGCAGTTGCTCGTGTTCCTTCCACACGCCTCGTTGAGCTTCACTTGACCGGTAAGCGCCAGCTGCGCTGTTTCTTGTAGATTAATGTTATTCTGTGTGGTATTATTTCTTATTTCTTTGGTTGCTTCATTACTGTCTCCTGCCTTTCAGGTTACACACTTCAGCGTTTCGCCGTGTTCGAGATATTATCGCGTGTCATCGCGACGGCGTAACGCTTTTCGGCGGGGGACTCCCCTTGTAGCAGATCTGGCGACTCTCGCGCTTCCAGCGTCGTCGAATTTCCGCTCGTCGGAAGTCGCACCGCTTGCACCCACCGCACTTGGCGGCGGCATTTCCGCTTCCTCCGGGGGTTTCACCCCCAGCCTTTTCCCCGCGACTTCCGTCGGTGCGCCGATGGACTTCCGCGGCCAGTCGGAGACCGGTGGGTCGGGCGGAGGCGATGGTGCGCGGTCGGCCCTTCCGCTGCTCAACTTCGGCATGGGGTCATCGGGGCTCATGGCGTCCTCCGACCTCATGGGCTCGCTGGGCGGCGCCGCCGGCGACGCGTCGCTCAGCATGATGGTCGGCCACGCCGCCTTTCAACCGCAGCCCGCTGGTAACCTGCCGCCTCTTAACACGCCGCAGCAGCAGCAACAGCAGCAGCAACAGCAGCAGCAGCAGCAGCAACAACAACAACAGTACCAGCAGCCGCAGTATCAGCAACAGCTTCAGCAGCAGCAGCAGCAGCAGAGGTCGCTGCAGCTGTCGGCGGCGTCTGTCGCGTCGCTCCTCGGCACCACCGCGTCCGCCGCCATGCCCAATCTCGTCGGAGCGCCCCCCCCGGGGCCGCTGGGCGTGGGCTCGGGGAAGGGGCCTGGCGGCGGAGCGACGGCGGAGGAGCGGCGCAATGTCGACTCGTTCTCGCTCGTTCCGACCGCCCCCGCGCGCAGCCCGCCACTCATGGCCTCCACCGGCAACGCGACTGACGGCGGCGCTGGCCAAGCGAACCAAGCAACGGGCGTTGTCACGCCGAAGGCGGAGAACGGCGCAGGCGGCGCGGGAAGCGCTGGGATGGGGGCGCGCAGCGACGGCAGCGATGGGGAGCAGGGCGGGGGAAGCGGGCGCGACGAGCAGGAGCAGGGCGGCGATGACGGCGCGGACGACGGCATGGGAATGGACGGCGCGGGCCGGCCGGTGGGCATGCGGAGCGGGGGGCGCGTGGGGTCGAGCCGGTACGAATCGCAGAAGCGGCGCGACTGGAACACGTTCGGGCAGTACCTGAAGAACCACCGGCCGCCCGTGGCGATGTCGCGGTGCAGCCCGCAGCACGTGGTGGAGTTCCTGCGGTACCTCGACCAGTTCGGCAAAACCAAGGTGCACGCCGACGCCTGCCACTTCTACGGGCTGAGCGGCCCGCACCCGTGCGCGTGCCCCATGAAGCAGGCGTGGGGCAGCCTCGACTCGCTCATCGGCCGCCTGCGCGCCGCCTACGAGGAGAACGGCGGCAAGCCCGAGAACAACCCCTTCGCCGCGCGCATCGTGCGCGTGTACCTGCGCGACACGCGCGAGCAGCAGGGCAAGGCGCGCGGCATGTCGTACGAGAAGAAGAAGCGCAAGCGCCAGGGCGCGCAGCCGCAGGCGCCGCCCCCCAATCAGCCACAGGCGATGCATGGCGGAGCGGGGGACGGCGGAAGGGGCGGGGACGGCGGCAGCAGCAGCAAGGACCAGGTGGGGACGTTCTCGCCGCCCGCCGTGGAAAGCGGCGTGAGGCACGGGCAGAACGACGCCACCGTCGGTGGCAGAGGCGGCGCGGGCGTCGGGGGAGGAATGGGCGCGGGGAGCCTGCAGGAGCAGCGCGGATTGGGGCACCTGCTGGGGGCCGGGGGAAACGCGCTGATGCCCATGGGCGGAGGGCAGGGCGCACCTGGCAGCATTCAGCAGAACCAGCAGCCATCCTCGCTGCTATCACTCCCGTTACAGAGCCAGCAGCAACAGCAGCAGCGCATGGGGGAGACGCATCAGGGGGCGGGGCAGCAGGGGCAGGCGGGGCAGGGCGGGCAGGGACTGCTGGAGCAGTTCAACGCGACGCTGCGCAACCAGCTGGCGCTGCAGCACGCGCTTCAGGGCCAGGCGCCCAACGCGCTGGGCGAGCTCAGCGGTGCTTCGCTGCTGGAGCTGGTGCAGCTCGTGGGGGGTGGGGGACAGCCGCCCCCCCTGCAGCAGCAGCAACAGCAACAGCAGCAGCAGCAACAGCAACGGCAGCAGCAGCAGCAGCAGCAACCACAAATGATGCAACATCAGCAGCAACAATCACTGCAACAGCAGCAGCAGCAACAACAGCAGCAGCAGGGTGGACTGAGTCAGGTGTTGAGTCGGCTGCTGATGGGGCAGGGCGCGGGTGCCCCCGGGGCCACGGACCTGCTGGGGCAGGTGGTGGGACTGCAGTCTCTGCCACCCGAAGCCAACCTGCTGGGCCAGCTGCTGCTCTCCCAGGCGCTGGGCGGTGGGGGCGGCATGCCCAATGGGAAGCCGCTGGGCAGCGGGACGATGGGGGGAATGGGCAGCAGCAATGGTGGGGTGGGGATGCAGAATGGCAGCGGTGGGCGAGGGGGCATGAGTGGAGGCATGGAGTAAGCTTGCACCTATGCACACTAGGCGCTCTGCTCTCCCTGCAAGCCATGCCATGCCATGCCGCTACTTCAAAGCACCTCTCCCTGCCTTGTTGCTGTGCCCCGATGGGATCCTCTGGCTTTGTGCCGCTCACGTGGAAACTTGCATTCTGCGTTGCGCTCTCCCTCATCTGTTCCACGCTGCATTGATTTGAAAGCTTAGGCTGCTGTAGCTATTATTAGGCTGCATTGGTTTTCTATTTTCTAGCATCCTATTGGACTCGCTTTTAGTTAATCCTTGAAATAGGTGTAACAGTAAATCCTTAAGAATCTACTTTCTCTGAATAATGCAAACGTATTTCAAAAGTGCATATTCGTGAACGTTCAACCTGGTCATCAAACGAAATGTCTCCCAACGCGTCCCACACAATTCGAACCCGCCTTACAGCTGCAAGAGATTCTCCTAGAACCTGAATCCAAGCCGTTCGGAAAGTCCAGAGATCCCACAGCCTGCCTCCTCTCAACTCGCGTCACCCACCCATGGCTCCCTGTCGCCACATTCGTCGCGCGTTGGCGCCGCGTGCCTTGCTGCTAGCGCTCGCGGTTCTGGCAGTCGGCGCGCACAGCAAGCGCGTGAAGCGGCGGCAGCAGCCGGCGGCGAGCGCGCCTGGCGACGAGGGGCCGGTGGAGTCGTCCGTCTTCGCGCGCCGCCTCGTTTCCGCCGACGTATCGTATCGCGACATTCTCAAGGTCGAGTGCATCTTGTGCCCTCGCTGTTTCCCTCTCCGCTCTGCCGCTCTCGCCTCGCATTCCCGCTGGCCTCTCACCCCCATGCCTGTGCCCCCTCGTGCGCGTGTTGCGTGGCGCGGTGGCATGCGTCGCGGTGGATGGACAGGAGCACGCGCGGTACTGGAAGGACACGGCGCACCGCCACTTCAACGGCACCGTCCTCGCTTACGTCACTCCCTGGTCCGTCACACATCAGTCGCACACCTCCCTGTTCGGTCGCAAATCTCCCTGTAATACCCCTGTCGCCAATGATTGCCCGCCATGCCATGCCATGCCATGCTGTGCCATGCCATGCCATGCTGTGCCGTGCCATGCCATGCTGTGCCATGGCGTGCAGGGATGTCCCATGGAGCGCCATGCAATGCGGGTCAATGTCATCCACTCCCTGTCGTGCGCTGTGCGCTGTGCGTGCATGGCATGCGCCCCACCCCCATCAGGAACGGAGGAGGCTACGACAGGGCACGGCAGTTCCGCCACAAGTTCACGCACATCTCACCCGTCTGGTTCCAACTCAAACGGTCAGCTCGCACCCACACCCCCGTGCCAATGCCACCATGCCAGAAACCGCCACTTGCGCGTGGTTTTTTTATTCCCTTGTTTCTCCTCTCTCCCTCGCTTCACCTTCCATCGAGTGCCACCCTCCTCTCATTCCACACCCCACTCGCCCCAACCCCCATGTGCCAACCGCTGGTCCCACAGAGAGGGCGGGCAGCTGCGGGTGGCGGGCGGGCATGACGTGGACGTGCCGTGGATGGACTCCGTTCGCCAGGATGGCGCTCAGGTGGTGCCACGTGTGCTGCTGGAGGCCCATGACACGTCAGGCATCGTCAGCTCTGACGATGACGCATCTGAGGCCATCCGGCTCATTCTTGACACCTGCAGGTCAGCACGCCATTCCTTGCCACCTGCAGGTCAGCACGCCATTCCTTGACACCTGCAGGTCAGCACGCCATTCCGTGCGTGCACTCACTCTCCCTCACACACTTATCTTCCCTCCTTTCTCCTACTCCTGCCACCCCTCCCTATCACCGCCCTTTAATTCCCCTCGTTCCTCTCTCCCTCCTCCCTCCCACTTTTTGCGCCCTCTTGTCCCAAGCCAACCCCCCGGCCCACCCGTTCCCCCGTTCCCCCCTTTCCCCCTGTCTATCCGGTTGCCCCATGCCCCTGGCAGGCAGCACCATCTGGACGGCATAGTGCTGGAAGCATGGTCCACATGGACGGCCACAGGGCTGCTCGCCTCACCCCCAAAGCGCGCGCGCGCCCTCGCCTTCCTCTCCCGCCTCGGCTCCGCCCTACACGCCACGCCCAACCCCGCCTCCCCCACCGCACGCCTCTCCTTCTTCCTCGTCATCCCCCCCAACGCCGCCGCCGCCCTTCCCCCCGAGCAGCAGCGCAGCCTCCCTCCGCACGCGTTCACGGCTGCGGATCTAGCAGCGCTGCATGCGCACGTGGACGGGTTCTCCCTCATGACCTACGACTTCTCCCCGCCGTCCCACCCCGGCCCCACCGCGCCGCTGCCGTGGGTGCGGCTGTGCCTGCAGGCGCTGCTGCCGGAGGTGGCGCCGCGGTATGCCGGCGCGTATGGCGAGGACATGGGGGTGGGCGAGGAGGAATGGCGGGAGGAGCTGCGGCGAGGCCGCGAGCTGAGGAGCTTTGTGGGGGATGAGGAGGAGGAGGGGGAGGAGGGTGGGGTGGGAGGAGGAGATGTGAGGGAGATAGCTCGCAAGGTGTTGGTGGGACTCAACTTTTATGGCTATGAGTACGGCCCCAATGAAGGTCAGTCCACCGCACTGCCCTGCAACACACTGTGAATCAATAGTCCTACGGTTCTGTAGTTTCCGATGAATTCCGGGTCTCCTTGCGTCTCGTCGCACCAGCGCTACCTGCCGTGCTCCTGTTTTGGCTTTCCACCAGACCATCATCCTGACCCTTTCTCCCTTTGTCCCTCCACACTACTGCCCTCTGCTGGGCAGGGATGTGGCGGAGCTGCAGCGCTCGCACGCCCTTCACCCCTCTCCCCACTCTCCTGCCACCCACCATACCTTCCCCTCCCCCCCTTACCTTCGCATCCACGCCACCAGACTACCGCCCACTGCTGGGCAGGGACGTGGTGGAGCTGCTGCAGCGCTACCAGCCGCAAGTATCGTGGGACCCCGATGCAAGCGAGCACGCCGTGTCCTTCGCTGCACGCCTCTCGGGCATCCGCCGCGCCGCCTTCTTCCCCTCGCTGCTTTCTCTCGCCCTGCGCATGCGCGAGGCCAGTGCGTGGGGTGCGGGGCTGTCGGTGTGGGAGATAGGGCAGGGCCTTGACTACTTCTTCGACCTGCTCTAGCGGCTGGAGCTGTTCCTCACGCTGCTGTGGCGGATGACTGCTGCTTCAGCAGTCCCAGGCGTGGAGGGTGAGGTAGCCAGAAATTTCAGCATGCTGCTGTCAAGCAGAGTGTATCGCAATGATAGTATATACACACAGTTATACATCAGACTATACAGGTAGGAGGAATTACTGTACAAGCATGGCTACTGCTTCGAGCAAGCCCTTGCCATTGAGGGTGGCTCTACTCACGCACCACCTTATCCTCTGTCACCACTATCACACGCGGCCCCTCCACGCCCTCCATGTCCCCTGCCGGCACACCTGCAGCGCCAGCCATGGCTGCCACATCCTCCCCAGCCATGCGCATGGCATCCACCACGTCCACCCGCCGCGATATCACATCCTCCCCCTTTCCCCCCTCACCTCCCGTTCCTCCGGCCCCCTCAATTCCAGTCCCCCCTGCTGCCCGCACCTGCTGCGCATGCCCTTGCACAGCCTCTCCCACGGCATGGGGGCCGCCCCTGACAGAATCCACCAGCGACTGCACTCCCCCCCCCACCGCCCCCGCCACCCCCCCCAGCATGCTCTGCACGCCCCCCGCCATGGTCAGCCCCAGCCCGCCTATGGCCTGCCCCACGCCCTCTACCGTGTCGTATGCTCCTCCACCAACTGCTGACGCTGCTGTTCCCACCGCGTGTGCTGCTCCCCCCACCACGCCCCTGGCTGCCTCGGCTGTGCCCACGCCTGCTGCCCCCACCGCATCCCCCACCTCCCGCCTGCCCTCTAGTGCTGCGCGCCCTGCTGCCTCCCCTGCGCCCTGCACCACCCCTGCTGCCGTGCCCATCCCCCTAGCTGCTCCCTGCGCTGCTGCCCGCGCTCCTTGCTGCCACACCACGGGATCAGGGGAGCAAACCGATGAGAGAGTTAAGGGAAGGAGGGTATGGAGCATGTGAGGCATGTGGAGGGTACATGCAGTGGAGGAGTGAAGGTGCCGGAATGGAAGCAATGGAAGCAGAGGCCGGGGTGCAGAGGAAGCATGCAGCACACACCACATACCTTCACCTGCTGCCCCACATCGCTTGCCACATGGCTGCCCACGTCAGCAGCACCCTGCACTGTCCCATACACCTCCCCTGCTCCCCTTGCGCCCATCTTCACCCCCTCACTCGCCATCTCCCCCACTGCCTGTGCCGTCCCTCCCACCGCGCCCACACCCCTTGCAGCGCTGCCTATGGCCTGCTTGCCCACCTCCCTGCCCTCCTCCCCTAGCGCCTGCACAGTGCCCGCCACAGTGCCCGCCCCCCTCGCTGCACTCCCCACTGCCTGCTTCCCCACCTCCTTCCCCTCCTCCCCCAACGCCTGCACTGTCCCTGCAACTGTGCCCGCCCCCCTCACTGCCGCCTGACTGCCCTCCCTGGCCGCCTTGCCTGCTTCCTCGCCCACACCCCTTGTAACACCCGCCAAAGTCCCTGCCCCGCGCGCAGCAGCCTTGCTGCCCTCCCTCGCAGCATGCCCCGCCTCCTCTGCTGCGCCCTGCACCACTCCTGCAGCTGTCCCTGCCCCCCTCGCTGCCCCCTCCACGCCCCTCTTCCCAGCAGCCCCCCCTTCCTCCGCCAGCCCCTGCACTGTCCCCGCCACTGTACCCGCCCCGCGTGCTGCTGCCCCAGCACCCTCCTTAGCTGCTCGCCCTGCCTCCTCCCCAGCACCCCTTGCCACGCCAGCCGCTGTGCCAGCCCCCCTGGCAGCAGCAGAGGCGGTGTCTGGCGACTGCTTGCCCTGCTCATAGCCCCGGCCAGCCGCCACCCCTGCAGAGGCACGCGTGTGGGTTGCACCCTCCCTCGCTGCCTGCGCGGACTCCTCTGTGCCCGTGTGCGGCCCCCCCAGCAGCGCCTCCCCAGCGTGTCCCATCTTTTCACGGATGCCCGCCAGCATGCCTGTCAGCCCCGACCGTGCCTCGTGTGCCGCCTCTGCGCCCTGCTGCTGGGCTGCGTGCTGCTGGGCGGTCACTGAGGCCTCAGAGGCTGCCTCGTGGGCGTGGGGCTTGCTCGTGCCATGTGATGCCTGCAACCTGCTCCCATCGCATGCACACACCAGGTGACAGCCAACCCATGATTGTGCATCCCACAATCGCTTAGCGCACATGACTTGCACATGTCTGCAACGTCCTACCTGTTGCAAGTCTGGCTTGAAACACCATCTGGCATGGCATAGCATTTACGCAACATGGACGTGGAAGTACTTGGGAACAAATGGAGGAGGTCGCACAGGACATGGCTAGCAGAGATGCGAGACTCACTTGTGCGTGGCCTCGCGCATGCCTTCCTCGCGCCCCGCCTGCCTCTGCTGCCCCTCCCGTGCCGCCTGCTCCTCCGGCTTGATGCACTCGTAGTGCCCCGTCGGCGCCTCCACCTGCACCTGATGGGCGGACATGCGACAGAGAGGCGTGAGAGAAGGGACGCCAGGGACCAGCTCACGGACGACAGGCAACAGCCATGCGGCCTGCAAGTACCTTGGGTTTGGATTCTTGACGCGAAGCCATGTCCACGGATGTTGAAGGGATTCGCGATTGAATTGACAGGCGCGTGCGTCACTGGATAGCGGAGCAGACGCACTGAGATTGGGATCAAGAATGCCCGTCCAGCAGCTGTGGAGCGAACTAGGTTTGAGACGGAATGAAGGGAAATTCACTGCTAATGCACGCAACTGAGGAATTTTGTAGGATTCCTTGTATGGGAGAGGCATGAATTCCCTCGATGCCTGGCGGTTCGCACGCTGGCGCCTCGAAGGGATTTGCAAATGTCAGCCCGACACGTGTGCGAAATGCACGACTTCCAATGCGATTGAGCTGGACTGCTCTCTATGAGCTGAAAATCTTTTATTACATTTGGGACCTCGCATGATTGGTGTACGGTGGAAGTTGTAAGCCAACTATTTCTCGAAACAATAACTTTATTAGTAACAATAATTTCTGTGTCAGTAGTGTGCATATCAGCAGTTAGTTGTCAAGGGCTGCTTTACTCTAGACCGATACAGCCGTCTTCTCGGCCTCCTTGCAGCACCGCTGCTCCCTGCACTGTCCATCAGGTGCGGTGCCATACAGCCTCCCACTGCCGTCAGTGAATCGCTATCCATGGAGCATGACTCAGATGCTTCTTGCATTGTGGAGGGAACCAAGTGAGCCGTGGACTGAAGAGAAGATGACGACGACGCGGCATGGAGGGAGGGGCAGACAGGAATGGTGGAAGCACCAGAGGAGGAGGCACACGCCAGGGGTGCAAGCACACCCCCCGTAGCTGCACCCGCCGCTTCCCTCGCCGCCTTCGCTGCTGCCGCGGCTGCAGGCACATGGGCGGTGAGCCAGGGGTGGGAGAGCAGGTCGCAGGCGGAGGGGCGTGAGGCAGGGTCCACAGACAGCAGCGACCGCACGAGCTGCTTCGCCTCGTCTGACACGCCCTCCCACGCCTCGCCGGTGAGGTCGGGGTGGCCGCGGCAGATGGCGAGGAACACGTGGGGCAGGTCGGGGCCGTAGAAGGGCACGTACCCCGCCAGCATCACGTACAGCACCACGCCCACACTCCACATGTCCGCTTTAGTGTCGTACTCGCGCCCACACACCACCTCGGGCGCCATGTACAGGGATGATCCCGCCAGCCCGCGCGCCCTGCCCCCCGCGGCCACCGCCACCGCCTGCCCGAAGTCCGCCAGCTTCACGCTCACGTGCGCCAGCGCCGCCTCCGCGCTGCGCGCGTCCGCGAGCAGGGGCGCGGCGGAGAGGCCAGCGAGGAGGAGGTTCTCGGGCTTCACGTCCAGGTGCAGCACGCCGTGCGCGTGGCACCACGCCACCGCGCTCGCCGCCTGCGCCAGCACCGCCGCCGCGCAGCGCTCGGGTAGGCGGCCGGCGCGCGCGACGAGGTCGAAGAGGTCGCCGCCGTCGCAGAGGTCCATGACGAGGTGCACGCGCCGCGCGTCCTCGTGCACGCTCGCAAGGCGCACGACGTGCGGGTGCGGCGGCAGCGCCGCCATGCACAGCAGCTCCATCTCGAGATCGCCGCGCCGCTCTCCGCACAGGCGCGCCTTCTCCACCGACTTGCACGCCAGCATGCGCCCGCTGCGGCGCGCCATGCACGCGCGCACGACGCCGAACTCCCCGCGCCCAATCTCCTCCTGCGCCACCGCGTATTCCGCGTCCAGCGGCGCCGTCGCGAACGGCAGCAAACGGTCGCCGGCGAGAAGGGCGTCACTTAGAGTGTCTGTCGACGGCCTGAGCGCGGGTTGCGGAGAATGGTCGATGGCGCACGGAATTGCGGTGTCCGCGATGCCCGCCGGCCTCACGGCGGTGCCGCAATGCTCCCAAAGCTCTCTTCTGACTGCTGCCGCACACTGTGTCGCCATGGCTTCAGCTGCGTCGTCGATGCGTGACGGTACTACGTAGGTGTGATTGTGGGGAGGGGGAGTGGATGCAAGGTAGGAGGTGAACGCATGACCCCGAGGTGGCTTGTGCGAGTGCAGCAGCGGGATGGCGAGCAGCTATATTTTCGCCCACCGACTGGCCACTGGCGGCAGCAGCAAGCGCAGGTCGAGCCGGCGCCCATTCAGCAGAGCTGGCAGCCTCCGCGGCCGACGCTGCTCCCACGCGCTGCGCCGTGCGCGCTACAGCGTCTTTCGCCCTACCCGGCCTGCCCTCTACCCGATTCCACGTGCACGAGCTCGTTTCTGCCTGCCCCGCGTCAGTCCGCGAGGAGCAGTGACGCTCGCACGGCCAAACCGATTCTCCAACCATCAACAGAGATACGTGTGCTGCCGTGACCCGCCATGGCACGCGGCGGTCGTTGCTCTCAGCGGCGACGGGTCCTCTGGCTACGAGCAACGCGCAGTATCATTGGCGCGGCACGGGCCTGCCACTCGCTTGCTCTGGCCCTGTTTTGCATTGGCGGGCGCGCGGGGCACATGATTGATCGATCGGCGGCGATTATGACGCCCTCCCTGTGGCACGGCAACAGAGCAGAACAGAACAGTCACGAAAAAAAGGGGCGCCGATTTTTGCGATCATCGCAGGGAGGGGAGGGAAGCGGAGCCCAGGCGGGGAATGAGGGCGAACGGCCGCACGCGAAGCAGGCAGAGGCGCAAAGACTCCCTCGCCCGTACCGGACCGAGGGGGGAGGGAGGGAGGCAACTCCCTTGTGCTGCCAACGTACGAAGCGAGAAGATGAAACGAAACGCGCTGACTGTAGCTGACCACCACAAAGCAAGCACTAGCTTGTACTGTAACCATGGCCTGCAGCCTGCTTGCATTACACCCACCACCAATTCTGCTCGCACACGTTCCAACCCAACAATCTCCCCCGGGAACACGACGCGGAGAGCTCCACGTTTGGCAGTGGTTTGGTGCCAGCTCTGTCGAATGTAGTTGGGTCAGAAGTCAACGACTCCACGAGCGAACGCGTAACAGTTCGCCTACATTTGCACCACCCGCTACAGTACGGTAATGGCAAATGGTGGCTGACTAGGACTCCTCAAATCTTTCGACCAATTTAGTCCCAGCACGTAGAGAACCGTACGCATGCGAAACGGTACCCCCGCCAGGTCACGTGACAGTGAGAAGGGAGGAAACGGAAGCGATGCACCGACCATCTGAGCTGAAACATTCGCGACGTCGTGATTTGGAAGTGTAGACGCATGTTACAAAGATGGTTCGCATTGAGGGATGCAAAGCTAAGACAAAAAGAAATTCGATTTGAATAAAGGCCCAGCGCCCCATCACGGATTTGTGACTATTTTGCGATGATGGAATCCACAACCACTGATGCCGCACCACGTGTGCAGATCTACCCGCAGCACACCGACTGCGTCTCGGATTTCATGCGAGGTGCGCGAATGTCGTTGTTTCCGTACTTGCTGACGTGTCTAATTCGTTGCTCACGCATGCCAGCTGGATCCATGTGAATGTCAGGGTTCCAGGGTTCGGGTTTAGGGTTTCGGAGTAGGGCGGGACGAATGCGCTTGACGCTGACTTGGAGGGTTCATTGCCTGCGGGGCCAGCTGCGGGGTGGGGGCAGTGGGGGAGGGGGAAAGTAGTGGAGGCACGATAGTAGCGGTGGGGGTTCCGGTGGCGAAGAAAGGGGGGCCGTAGTGACGGGGGTGGTGGCGGGTGAGGGGGCGCAGTTGTAGCGCGGGAGGCGCGGAGTTGCGGGTTGGTGTGTTGGTGCCCCACCCACCCTCTCGAGCACCCGCTCCTCCCCCCTCGCCTCTCATCTCTCGTCTCTGCCTGTGCGCATGCGTGCGTGGGTGCCTGCGTGCATGCGCGAATGTGTGCACGTGTGCGTGTGTGAGCCATGGTCGGGGCAAGGCAGGCAAGTACGAGAGGGAGGCGCGGCGCTACTGGGATCTCTTCTATAAGCGCAACGGCGAGCGGGTGAGCGCGTGCCACGTGGCACACAGCCACACCCGCTGCCGCCACCACTGCGCTCGCCTCGTGTCGCCGCAGCACTGCATCCTTCCCCCCCTCCTCACTGCCTTCCCCCCCACTGCCAAAGCCCCCCTCGCTCCCTACTCTGCGTTGCTCAGTCCGTTTCTTCCTTTCCCCCTTCCCCCCGGCTCATCCCTCCCCCTCGCCCCCCGGACTCCCTCACCCCCCTCCTCCCCCGGACTCCCTCATCCCCCCCCGCCCCGTGCGCCGCGCCAGTTCTTCAAGGACCGCCACTACCTGCACCACGAGTGGGCGCTCTTCCTCCGCGGGGACACGGAGGCGGGAGGAGCGGCGGAGGTCGGGGCAGAGGGGGGGACAGAGGGGAGGGCAGAGGGAGGGGGAGGGGAGGCTGGGGACGGGGATGCAGGCGCAGGAGCGGGGATCGCAGGAGGCGGTGATGGGTGTGGCGGCGGCAGGGGGGGGTGTGTGTGCGAGCGGTGCGTTGCCATCCGACGAGTGGTGCTGGAGGTGAGATGAGTGGTGTTGAGAGGGAGGGGGGGGTGGGGCGTGGGTCGTGCAGGGCGAGGGGAGGGGGGCGTGCAGGGTGCATTGTGCTTCAGCCTCCCCCCATTCGCCTGTGCCTTGCTGCCCTTCCACCTTCCCGCGCCACTCCTCTCCCCTCACCGCCAATGCAACCCCTACCCCTCACCCAACGCCCTCTCATCCCCTTGTGCTTCCCCCCTCCTCCTCTTGCTCCCCCTATTCCCCCTGCATTTGCCCAATCCCACCCCCATATTCCCCTATTCCCCCTGTCCTCCGCCATCCCCCCTTTGCCTCCTCTGTCCTCCGCCATCCCCCCTGTGCCTCCCCTGTCCTCCGCCATCCCCCTCAGGTGGGGTGTGGGGCGGGCAACACGGTGTTCCCGCTGCTCGCGGACGACCCGCACCTCTTCGCCCTCGCCTGCGACTTCTCCTCACGGGCAGTCGCCCTCGTCACCGTGCGTGGGGGTGTGGGGATGGGTGGACATAGTGGTGGGAAGGGGGAGGTGTGGGTTCATGGAGGTGTGAGCGTGTGGTGCTGGCATGTTGCTCTGCTGCTTACTTGCACGCTGTGTGCACTGATGGCGGCACCCTCACGGCCAGCCTCTCTGTGTCGCTCCCTCGCTCTCCCTCTGCATGTGTGTGTGCGTGTGCGCACGTGTATGTATGCGTGTCTCTTCTCCCTCTGCGTGTGCACTGGCATGGTGGCGGGCAGGGCAGTGAGCACTACGACCCGCACAGGCTGAGAGCATTCGTGGCGGACATCACAGCTGACCCCCTCGCCACTGCCATCACCACCGCCAGCAGTAGCAGCAACGACGGCAGCAGTGGTGGGGGGGGATGCACGAGCTGCCTGCCGCAGTGCCCTGCAGTGTGCCCGCCATCTCAAGTGGATGTGGTTACCATGGTGGGTGGCTGGCAAGTTAATGCCGTGCAGAAATCCTTCCATCATAACATGGCATCACATCGCACCACCTTCCATCACTTCACCTCAGTTGCTTCCCATCACTGCGCTCCACTCACCAACCCCATGGCCAGGTGTTTGTGCTATCTGCCATTTCACCTGAGAAGATGCCTCTCGCTGTCGCCAACGTCGCCACTGTGCTCAAGGCAGGTCCCCTCGCCCCGGCCCCTTGCGTGCCCCTTTCATCCCTTTCCCCCTCACAAGAGCCTCTTGTCATTGCCACGCGCCCTCTCACCTGCCTTCTGCTGCACCTTTTCTCCACATCCACCCCCTCACACCCGCCCCTTGCCCCAACTTTCCGCACCCCATGGCATGGCATGGCATGGCATGGCATGCAGCCAGGAGGGCATGTATTGGTTCGAGACTATGCTGCCGGCGACCTGGCTCAGGTGGGTGGCTTAGGTGGGTGGCTCAGGTGGGGCTCAGGTGGGTGGCGCAGGTGGGTGGCTCAGGTGGGTGGCTCAGGTGTGTGGCTCAAATGTGTTGCTCAGGTGTGTTGCTCAGGTGCCATGTATGGGTACAAGTCAGCAACCCCATGTGTCAATCCATGATTGTTGTCACTGCTGCCGCGCTGCCATTCTCTGCAACTGTCTATCCTCTTCCGTCTCGCCTCCCCACCGCCCTGCCGTGCCCTGCAGGAGCGGTTGAGGCGTAAGGAGCAGCGGATCGCTGACAACTTCTATGTGCGCGGCGATGGCACCGTGAGTGGGGGTGTGGGGGGAGGGGGGGGTGATGGCACAGTGATTGAAGGTGGGGGCTGATATTGTGGTCAGCTGATGCTGTCATCTATCCACGCCTCCCTTCCCGCTTCTCCCCACCGCGCCCCATGTCCCTCCCACGCCCCATGTCCCCTTGCGCACTATGTTCACCGTCGCCCCATGTCTCCCCCCGGCCACAACAGCGCGCATACTACTTCACGGAGGAGGCGCTGGAAGCGCTGTTTGCGGGGGCGGGCATGCAGTGCGTGAACATGGGCGTGTGTGAGCGCACCGTCACCAACCGTGCACGGCAGATCGACATGCACAGGTGCTGCTGACGTGGCAGGTGCTGCTGACGTGGCAGGTGCTGCTGACATGGACGGTGCTTCTATTAGCTTGTGCATTCTCTTGCATACAACACCCATTCCTCATCTGCTTTGTGGAACTCCCCCTTGCCCGTACACCCACTGCAACTGTGCCCCGCTCCTCTCCCCTACGCTCTCTCCCCTTGCCCGCCCCTTGATGGCACCCCCAGGCGGTGGATCCAAGCAGTCTTCCGCCTGCCCCTCGCTGCCCCTGCTTCTCCCTCTGCTCCCGCTGCTGCTGCCACTGCTGCCACTGCTGCAGAGGATATTGGGGCAGGAGGGATGAGCGACAGGGAAGGAGGGGAGGATGAGAGAAGCGGAAGTGGGAGCAGTGTTGTGCAAGGCGAGGGCAGGGGCAGGGAAGGAGTTGGTGCCACGGAGAAGAGCGGCAGGGAGGAGGGCGGCAGGGAGGAGGGCGGCACGGGCGGCAGTGACATCACATGTGAGGTGGACTGCAGCAGCCTCTTCCTCTCTGACCCCCCTTTAGAGGTGCTTCTCTCTCCCTCCCCTCCCTCCCCTCTCTCCTCCCCTCCCTCCCTCCCCTCTCTCCTTTTCCTCTCTGCTTCGCCGTTGTCGCTCCTGTCCCTATCCCTTCCCTCCTCTCCGCCTATCTACCCCCCCAAAAACGTCTCCCAATCCACCACCCATTGCCCCCAGGACCACGTGCTCTCCCTCGCGCACCTGCCGCTGCGCGTGCGCCTACTGTCCCGCGAGCACCAGCACACGCAAGGCAGCACGGGGCGGCTGCTGTGGGAGTCCTCCCAGGTGCTGGCAGCGCTGCTGCTCGCCCACCCCGCCCTCACCCGCCACTCCTCCGTCCTCGAGCTCGGTGCGGGCGGCGCCGCACTCTGCTCGCTCGCAGCCACCCACAGCGCGCCACGTGTCATTGTGGCGACAGATGGGGACGAGAACGCTCTCAGCCTGCTGCCGGGGAATCTGGAGCTGAATGCGGGGAGCTTTGAGACGGGCAGGATCAAGGAGTGCCGGCTGCGGTGGGGCGATGAGGGCGACGAGGCAGCAGTGAGGCAACTGCTTCCCTCTCATGATGTGATTGGGGCGGATCAGGGTCAAGTGCAGGAGGAGGGAGGGGGAAGCACAGCCAGTACAGAAGGGAGCGATGCGCGCACAGCCCCTGTCGGAGGCAGCAGTATGAAGGGAGACGATACCGAGGCTGCTTATACCGCAACGCAGCAGGGGAGGGGGTTTGATGTGATCCTGGGAGCCGACGTGGTGTATGTGCGTGCCGCCGTGCCGCTGCTCTTCCAGTCCGCCGCCCGCCTCCTGGCACGCCGGGACGGGAGCGGGGGGCGTGTGCCGGTGCTACTGCTGTGCCACATCACACGCCAGGTGCTCGAGCCAGATGTGCTGGCTGCAGCGGCAGCAGCGGGGCTAGAGGTGGCGGAGGGAGAGGTGGCAGAGCGTGTTGGGGGGAGTGTGGAGCGGGCGATGCAGGCAGCGGTGGGGACGGCGTTCCCTGGGGAAGGCAGAGATGCCTCCCTCTTCCGCCTCCTCTGCTTCCGTGCCACTAGTTTGCCTTGAGCTATCACTGCAGCCATGCGTGCTTTGGTGCATGGTGTAACTAGAACCATGTCAAAGCCATCCACCTTTCTCCCAATGTAATTGCCATCATAATCCACGCATTTTTATTAATCCACATTATTACTTGGCCATCTGACTGCCGGGGCGTAGCACAATGGTTAGGGATTCACTGTGGTTGTTGCTGAGGTAAGGAGGAAGGTGGACGAGAGAGAATCACGCATGCAAGGTCGTCGTTAGCATAGTGCTTGTATTGATAACAGTCACATTGCATTGTCACGCAGGGCACCGGTATAAGTGTTTGTGCGAATTGCCGCACAAGTCGTATGGTTGCACGCACGCCTTCGGCGGCATGTGCGCGATGACCTATTATACTAGGACTATGATACATTAGGTATGGCGATTACTGGCCGCAGCCAGCTCAGTAAGACGATATTGTCTTCTTGTCCCGTTCACTATCAGGCAGCATGAGCGATACTGCCTCGTGTCGTTAATCACTAGCCATTTTCCCTTCAGCCGCGCGATGCTCGCTCGATCAGCCGAAAAATCCTCTCAACCGCTTCGACAAGGTTTGCGACACGGCGTCCAGAATGGTTGGCGCTGCGGTGACCGCCATTGTCTTAGATTCCGACTCGCGCGTCGCGGAAACGGAAACGTAATCGTCGTCCTCCGCGCCACTGAAGTCCTCCGAGCCGTGCAGATGGTGGAACGCGTTTGCGATGGCGGCGGCTTTAATCTCCTCGTCGTTGGCCGCCTGCTGCGCTTCGAGCTCCGTGAACGTGAAGGCGTCGTCCTCGCTGTAAACCACCAGCTCCTGCAGCATGTCCACCTTGCTTATAGCGCGACAGACGAAAGGCATGCTCAGTAGCGCGACGACGGCGATCAACAATGACAGCGGCTTTCGCGACGAAGCCATTGTCCCGATGACTCGTGTCGGCCAGGGATATGCGTATCGCAACAAAAGGACGGCAGAACTCCGACCGGTCGAAATGGCTTTGTAAGAGACACTAGCTGGATGAATAATTCGCGTGGCTTAAGAGTTAGTTGAAAGCAAACTGACTAATAAATGGTGGATCGTTCTGTGCTGAACGCTATGGCTATCGCTGTGGAGATTAGCAGAATTATTGAAGGGGTTACTTGAATTCGGAACGTCCGACTGAGTTCGCAGCAGGTGGATTTGTAGGAGCCGCGAGCAGCAGGGAGTGGCGTGGCTGGCGGCAGGGGTGGAGCGGGTGGGGTGGAGGTGAAGGCGGATGGAGGCCGAAGGGGATTGGATTGTTGCGATTCACGTGGGGCGGGATGGGAGGGAGGCAGCGCCAGGGGAGCAACGCGCGGTGGCGCGTAGCGCAGCTCACAAGGTTTGCGCCCAGACAAGCTTCCTGGCTCAGTGCTGCCGTGAACGCGCTGACTGATGACGGAGGATTTCCATTGCGACAAACGGCTAAACGACGGTGCAGACGACAACCGTCTGTGGCACGGCTTGGGCGACAGCTGGGCTTTGTGAGGTCATCGCATTTCGGTCGTTGACGATGGGCACGGCAAGTTCGGCGAACCACTGAAGAAGGTTCACGCGCTTCATGCGACAGTAGCGACTAGTTTGTCGGCTGTGCGAGTGATCTACGCCGAACCGAGGCGCAGTGAGAAAATGTTTTTCGTCAGACTGACAAACAAAACTGGCACCGCGAGATTGGTGGCTGACCAGCCAACAGAACGCTCCGTCAGCTGACAACTGCACCAGAGTTGAAATCAATAATTATGCTGGTGCTGAAAGCTGCTGGCGTGGACACACCCTCTGCCCACGTTGCAGTGACTCTGGTGTGTTTCCTGGCGCTGGCGTGGTTCTGCACCTCATATCAACATAAATAACATAACGCCTGTAAGCAACTAAAAATTCTCCATTAAATAACTAAATTCTCCGGATTACAGCATACTTGGTATTTGACACCCATACGCTGTTGATTTCGTGTTGTGACCCATGGTAAAGTGTGATGTGGACAAAATTGGAGATTAGATATCCACTTATTAGAGCATACCAGCGTATGCATGATATCCAAGAATCAGTATCTGAATCTCATTAAAGTCCTAATTTGCTTATATGCCTATCCCCAGAATAGCCTTTGCCAAACTGGGCAATTTGAGACCCTTATTACGGCTAGACACAAAGGTGCAATGGCATGTGAGAAACATAGCTAAGGGAATACAAGCTGTGGGAAATCACATAAAGCAAATCAGCCTTGCTATGAAGTCAGTAGTGGAAGAAAACTATGCTAACTGCAATGTGGTGTGAAATCTGTGTGTCCAAGGCACGTGTAGCGTCTCACTGTTGTGCGTCTGATAGCTGTTCCTCGTGGACTGCTGATGTCTCAGCTTGAGGCCCAAGCACTACGGGAGCAAGGACACCCCCTGCTTCTTGAGGCGCCGGTCCTCGCTTGCTTCCAAAACCATCAGATTGGCGCCCTCGGGGTGTGCTGTTAGCTCTCGTCCTAGCGCGCGTGGACTCAGTAGTCTCCATGAAGTGAGGAACAATGCGTGGCGATGCGCTGGCACGTTTGAACGATGCTGATGGGGAGAGTGGTGCATGGGGCCCTGTGTTGGAAGCTGAACGGTTAGCAGATCGACTCAGCGACCTGGACCCAATCACAGCATCTGCAAGGGGTTGTGGCTCATGCGAAGCTCCAAGCGACAGCCGAGACATCGCAGCTGCTGCTCCACGGTTGCTGCCAGTGGTCGTGGTCGCGGGTGGAAGGGCTCCGACCTTGGCGGCCCAGGAAACCGTGGGGGCACAGATGTTGCAGGTGTGGGGAATTGCCTTAGAGGGCGCAGTGCCAGTAGCGGACGCCTGAGCAGCAGCTGCGGCGTTGGCTGCCTGTGCCACGGAGGGCTTGACAAGGACACGGCGGCCGCAGCTCTTGCACTTGCCCATGTCCACCAGCTCCACAGTGCGGTGGGGCTTGGACTCCACTAATTGAGCCTCAAACAGACGGAGTGCTCCCTGACGTTTGGCTTTGGGGTTAACAGCCTGATAGTGCGCCATCATGAGACGATTCTCCCACGGCCTCGCGACCATCCAGCGCTCCAGCCAGCTCCACCCCCAACCACCCTTGTCGGGCTCGCAGTCAATGTATGCCATGGAGCGTTGCTGGGTAGGCTTCTCCTTCTTCCAAAGCTGAATGTAACGAAAAAACAGAAGTTAGTTCTGCGAGAAAAGCAGCACGCAAGAACTGTTCACCCTGTGTTACACTTACCGAGCGAGAATCAGCATATGCTAAAGCACGTTCCCTACGAAGGATGGCCTCCTGCTTGCTCTGAAGCTTTGCCTGAATCTCCTCTACGGTTCCAGAAGCATCGCACCAGCCAACCTGAAACCAAAGAGAGTCAGTGTCAAACATCGCAGAAAGCAAGACAGTTTCCTGGATGACGTGACACTTGAATTCGGTGAACACAGTCATACCTCGTTGCGTTTGAGAACCACTTCAGGGTGATACTTGCGGGAAATCTTCTCCAACTGCCGCTGGACAAGTTGTCCCTCCCTGCAGCAAGAAAAGGCCTATGTCAGAAAACAATGGGACGGCTGACAGGGTCTAAGCTTCCTATTGAATGCGGGGACACGAACCTGGACATCCGAACCCGACGGGCACGGAACCGAGCCTGGACACGAACGATCGCGTGCATGCAGCGAAGGGTAGCTTTTGCCTGCTTCCGTGCAATATGGCCCCTCACCAAAGCCTGGAGGCGAACCAGCCCCTTCAATGCACGAAGAGCCTTACGAGCCTGACGCCACATCCATTCAACATAAGACAAGCCATGAATAACAGAAACTCTTTGTTAGAGATGAGATGTGCACTGCGCGTCAGCATAGTTGATCAAGCTTACCAGATAACCACGATACACAGTCTGAATCCTGATGGCTGCTGCAGACTCAGCTGACATAGCAGGTGCTATCGCTTGCTTCTTCGTGGCGCTGTACATGCGCCGGCCAGACCATGAAGATGTTGCGGTGCTCGATTCCCGCTTGGGAGAAGATTTGAGCGACACGCCCGAGGAGCACGTTGACGCTTCAGCAGCAGATCTAGCAGCAGACTTTGAGCGATATGAGCGGCCATGCGAGGCTGAGGCTTGAGAAATTGCTGGGGGAGGCATGGTAACAGAGGTGCAAGAGGTAGAGGGTGACTGAGGTGCCGTGAAGCGGGAGGCGGAGCCATGTCCAGGCTCCTTGGTGGAGGGGGATGCTGGATTGGCGGAGCGACTGCAAGGTGAAGGCGACCTGGCAGCTGAGCGACAAGCAGATGGTGAAGCAGGAACCCGAGCTTTTGATCCATCTGCATTGATATAGAAGGACGGAACTGTTCGCGAAGACTGGACCGGTGATGATTCATGAGCAGAAATGGCAGATGTTGCGGGAGACTTGAAGCTTTTCGTTGCTTTTACACTTTCGTCCTTCGAGTATGCGCTTTCAGAGTACAAATCATCCTCGAGGAGTTCCTGTGGTAGTCGGTCAGAGATAGTGTCAGTATTAATAGGACGACAATACAGGAAATTGTAAGTCGAAAGGACACTCAGGATACCGCGAAATACGATGATTGTCCAATCTAATAGGACCCCTCACCTCAGGCTTAATCTTCGCAGGCTGGGGCTTACAGCGGAAAAGCGACTTCAACCACTTGTTCGTCATCTTCACTATTACTAGAACTAGGTACTAGAGAAAGAGAAGAAGAAAAAAAGACGTGGAATCACTAACACATGCAAAGCATGGCTCAGAAGATGCTAGGAGGGACCGCTAAGGTAGCCTGAATGCAAGCTAGTGCTGAACCTTGAGAGCACCCAACCGCTGCGTCACGGCTGAAGTAATAAAGTTAGCTGAAACTGGAGCTGCACTGGGTTGAAGCCTGGACTGCACTGGGCTTTTTAGCCAAATGCCACTGCAGGCACTTGTCCCAAACATTGCCACTCGGTGGAGCTCCCGAGGCGCAGCCAAGGGCTGGTTTCAAGCTTGACGGACGTGACGGGGCGTTCGAGATTTCCAGCAACTCCAACCAGACGACTCCGTCTTCGCCGCTGACATGGGTTGCCGAAACGTGCCACGTCTGGTACCTTTTGACGGTATGGACTTTCGTGAACGGCGGCTGGGCGTCGATGTTGCCGAGCGTCACATCGAGGTGCGGCTTGATTTGTGAGGTTCGTGGCCCAGCAGGGAGCCCCCGCAAGACCACACACGATCGAAACACGAAGATGCTTGGGCTGATCAAACGTGGCTCGGGAAGTAGAATAAAGTTTCGTGTATGTCGACTTCAAACAAAAGTGATCCCCTCACCCTATATGAAATCATGCACCCTGATACAAACGCGCAAATCTGCCATCGCTGTGCTGGAAATCTCTGACCAATCCCCATGTTGTCAGAGACATCTTGCGCCTCTTTGCAAATCCATATGGAACCGCCTTTCTTCCCCAAACCAACAACCAAAGAGCTGCTGCCCCTGATGTTTTTAGTATCACCTCACCAGACTACCTTTGCCATGCGTGCTCGTCGCGTTCATAAATGTCCGTCGCGTCCAGGACTTTAGGTAACTGCCTTAGTGCACCTTGGGTGACGTCCATAACGAGCATCCGGACTCCAGTCGTGTCCGTAGTCACCGCACGAATCCGAGTCCTGGCATCCTCCGTCGTTGCCGCTTTCGCTTCGCAGTTAGGTTCACGATCCGCTATTCACGGCATTCACCATTCTGCAGCGCCCCGCGACAGCGGTACATCTTGCGAACAATCATATCGCCTCGTCCACGCTCGCTTCGCGCCAGTGTCTGTGGTATCCCTTGCGCGGCTCGGCGAGCCGAATCTGGGGGACATGGTGCATCCGACCGCCGCTCTCTCTCCTCAACTGAGGGTATCTGTTGCGCTTTGCGCCTCTCGCGGGCGTCACACGCTGCTATCGCCGCAACTAGCGGGATCGGGGTGGCCTCCAGCAGCCAATTTTGGCTGTTTGGTTTCAACGATAGCCGAACGCAAGATACGCGTTTCTCATTTCCAGATTCCACGGATAATTTTGCAGAGTGGAACAGACACATTGGGCAAAAGACGGCCGTGTGCCATGGCGCACGGGGGAGAGGGTTTTGGCAAGGTCGGCGCCGAGGGAGAAGGCTTTAGCACAGAACAAGCAGAACCAGCGGAATCGCGCCAGGCTGACGTTAGCGCGGAACTACGTAAGCTTGACAGAACGTCCAGCGGCGCGAGCGTTAATAGCTGCAGCAGCAGCAGCAGCAGAAGCAGCCATGGCGGGAGCAGTCTGGTGGTGATATCGTTCTACAAGTTCGCGCAGCTGGACGAGTGCGACGCGCTTAAGCGCCCGCTCGAGCAGGTGTGCCGCCAGCACCGCGTGTCGGGCGGCGTAATCGTCGCGCGCGAGGGCATCAACGGCAGCATCTGCGGCACGCCCGACGCCGCCGATGCCGTCATTGACTGGCTGCGCGCCGATGCGCGGCTGGCGGGGCTGCGCACCACCGTGCAGCCGGCGGGCGCGGAGGAGAGAGAGGCGCACCGCGCAGCGGAGGCAATGGAGGCGGAGGAGCGGGAGGAAGGGGGAGCGGAGGCGGAAGCGGTGGACGGGCAGTCGGAGTGTTCCCCGCTGGCGGCGGGGCGAGACGCGCCGTTCCGATGGAACCACGTGCGCGTCAAAGTGAAGCAGGAGGTGCGCGCAAGGGGGACAGGGAGGAGGGGGAAAGGGCAGGGAGAGGGCGCACAGGAAAAGGATTTGCTTGGTGCATCGTGGCGGGGCTAACTGCGCGACGCGCACACTCGCAGCGCGACACAGCCAGCGCTCGATCCCATTCCTCCCTCATCACACGCTGCCTCCACCCCCTCTCCCTTCCCCACCTTCCCTTCCATTCTCCCCCATTCTTTCCCCTCCCCCTCCGCCCCCGTTGGCACTGTGGCCGGGCAGATAGTGACACTGGGGATGCCGGAGGTGAACCCAGCGGACGGCGTGGGCACGTACGTGAGTCCGCGCGAGTGGAACGACCTCATCTCCGATCCCACCACGGTCAGTCGCCGCGCCCGCTGCTCCCCACGCGCCTGCTGCTTTCCCCGCACCCCCTGCTCCCCCCGCGTTGCCTGCATTGCCGTCTCTCACTCCACACTGCTGCCTTTCCCGTGTCCTCATGACCTCATGTCTCACCACCCCCCTACCCTCCCACCACAGAGCCCCCTCCTTCCGCACCCCTCTCCACCCCCACCTCCCTCCCGGTTCCCCTAAACCCATTCCCGCCAATCCCCCTTCTCCAACCCCCGCACAACCCGCCCCCAGGTGGTGGTGGATGTGCGCAACGACTACGAGACGCGCATAGGCGCCTTCCACCGCGCCACCGACCCCAACACACGCTCCTTCCGCCAGTTCCCTGCCTGGGTCCACAACCACCTCCCCCTCCCGCCCTCGCCCCCCAACTCCTCCGCGCCTCCCTCCCCACCTTCCGCCTCCTCCCCCTCCACCACTCCCCCTGACTCCGCGTCTACTCCCGAGTCCCCTGAGTCTCTCCAAGCCTCGCCGTCCGAGTCCGCGTGGCTCCCGAGGGTGGCAATGTACTGCACGGGGGGCATCCGCTGTGAGAAGGCCACCGCCTACATGCTGCACCTCGGCTTCCCCCAGGTGCCCCCCGCCCCGCTCTCCCCCCACCGCTACCCATTCCTCTGCCCGACCTGCTGCCTGCCTCGCTGCCTATCCTTTCCCCTGAGTCGCCAAGACCTTGTGAAAGCATGCTCAACAGTACAACCCTCTCAAAGCCCCTCACACACCACCCACAATCACTCTTCCCCCATCAACCTCCCCACTTTCCCTCCCCTCTCCCCCCACCAGGAGCGGGTGTTTCACCTGGACGGGGGCATCCTGCGCTACCTGGCAGAGGTGCCCCCCGAGGACAGCCTGTGGCGCGGCGAGTGCTTCGTGTTTGACAAGCGCGTGGCCGTGGGCCACGGCATGCTCCCCACCGCCACCTACTCCCTCTGCTACGCCTGCAAGCAGCCCGTGGACGACGCAGATTGCCAGTCCCCGCTGTGGGAGGCGGGTGTGTCGTGCCCGCACTGCCATGGCAGTAAGAGTGAGGAGGAGAAGGAAAGAGCGCGCGCCAGGCAGCGGCAGTTTGAGCGGTGGGGGGCGGTGGGCGGGCCGGGCGGGGAGAAGGCGGAGAGGGCTGCTGAGAGGATGAGGCGACGTGCAGAGAGGCGGAAGGGTGGGGAGACAGGTGCGGTGAGGGGGGAGAAGGGGGAGGAGGGGAGGAGGAGAGTGATGGAGGAGAGTGATGGAGGAGAGTGATGGAGGAGAGTGATGGAGGAGAGTGATGGAGGAGAGTGATGGAGGAGAGTGATGGAGGAGAGTGAGACGAGTGAGGGGCGCTCACAAGCTGAGCAGCACCAGGTGCTGTAGGCTCATCACTGGAACCACAAGCATGCGTTGTAGTGCTGTTTCACCATCCCCTCCCCCCAAAAGTGGGCATCGAAGGTTGATGATCTCATGGTGTGTATGTAAACAGAAGGCCATTTGTCCCATCTCCTTTTGTTGCAGCAACTTCACCGTCCCACAGAACACGACATGGGCTGCCGTGGGCTGTGAGTCATGACCACGACCATGACCCCACAATGTGCTTGCAGTGGACAAGGCCGGAATGCCTGCAAGCAGCCAGCCCAAAGCGATGAGCCCCTGTGGGCGCCCCCTGTCCGTTTCGTGCACCATTGGGTGCCTGGCCTGGCCCGGTGTAAGAACAAATAAATATATATAAATAAATTACAAAGCAACTCATTGCAAGTGTACAGTGCAGGGCGGGGCGGTCTCAGATCACCATTGAGCAGTGCTGGGTGGGGGCTGGGCGAGGAGGAAGGACTGGAAGAGCACAAACGCCTCCTCGGGCCTGCCTGTGGGCACCTGGTGCCCCGCCCCCCTCACTGTCACCCATGTTAGCTTGTCATACTGCGTCGCCCACCCGCCCACCTGCTCACACACCCATGCACACACATGCACACGCACATGGGAGGTAAGAGCGTGCAGGGTGAAGGTGGTTGGGCTGAGAGAGGCAAGCAGGAGTGCGGAAAGAGGGAGTCACAAGCACATGGCAGATGGAGAGAGCGAGGTGCAGTTGCGAGTGCGCATGCTCTCATGGCACGCCCATATGTCATGGCTCTCATGGCACGCCCATATGACATGGCTCTCATGGCACGCCCATATGACATGGCTCTCATGGCACGCCCATATGACATGGCTCTCATGGCACGCCCATATGTCATGAGCCCCAGGCGAAAGCTATAGCGAGGGGTGGGGGGGCGGTGTACCCCCAGTGGTGGGGAGCTGGGGAGCACTGACGAGCAGTTGGCACGCACCTGGCCCGAGGGCATGAGCCAGGGGTACTGCGGCTGCATGACGGGCAGCCCCAGCGCGTCTATCCACACGCGCGTGCCTGTGAACGGTACCACACTGTCCGCATCGCCCCTGTGGGACACACACATGGGGAGAGACATGTGCGGGAGAAGGGCAGAGCAGTGCGGGAGAAGGGCAGAGCAGTGCGGGATGGGATGGGATGGGATGGGATGGGATGGGCAGCACAGATGCGCTGAGGCGGGGGGCGCGAGGCGCGTGCATGGGGAATGGCGTCAGAGACGACGCACGTGGCAATGAGGGGTGCAGCAGTTGGGTGAACGCGATGCAGGCTTGGGTAAAAGGGCAACGGAGCAAGGGGTGACCGGGTGGGGGGCATGGGGCGCAACGGGAGGGCATTGGGCGAGGGGGGCAAGCGGGCGAGGGGTGGGGGGCGTACGAGAAGATCCAGAAGCGGATGGGGTGGTCCAGCAGCGCCGCGATGGTGGGGATGATGTCGCTGCCCTGGTTGGTCGCACTGTAGTCTATGCTGTTGCTGTTGGGGGGGGAGAGGGGGGGAGGGGAATGGCAGGAATGCAAGACAAAGGGGAGCAATGGAGAAACGAGTGTGCGTGGAAGGTGACGTGAGCAACGAAGAGCGATAAGGGTGAGAGGGGGTGGAGTGGGGGTAAAGAGAGGCAAGTTGCAGCCACGCTATACAACCGTGCCCACCACGCACCCACGCACCCACCACCTTCCAGCCTGCCTGCCCACCCATAACCCCGCCCGCCTGCCCGCCCCCCCGCTGGGCTTACGAGCAGAGGCTCCACTGGGAGGCGCGGATAGCGGGCGCACGGAGGGTCCTGTAGACGGCGGGCGAGCGCAGGTAGCGCTGCACCCACGCGTCCATGCACGCGGGGTTGTCTAGAGGGTCCATCGCCTTGCCACTCACCCCCGCTCCGCTGCTGCTCCCTGCACCGCTTGGTGCCGCCACCTCCCCACCCCCTGCGGCTGCTTGTGCTTGCGCCGCTGCCTGCTGCTGCTCCAGCGCCCGCTGCTGCTGCTGCTGGATGGCGGCCTGCAGTGCGGCCATGGAGAAGCGCAGGCGCGGGTTCATGCGCGCTGAGGCGGAGAGGCGCGCTGATGAGATGTCCGCCAGACAGTAGGGCGCGTAGATGTCTGGGGGGGGGGGGGGTTGTGAATGGGGGGTGGCAAGAGCGACGGTGGGAGTGGTGAGGGTGAGGACTCGAGAAGAGGTGCACAGAGATCAGAGATGTTGAGAGGCCGTAACAGGAGGTGAGAGGAGCGTGTGCAGGTGGGTGGGTGTGTGCGGAGAGCAACTGAGAGGCACGGAGAGGGAGACGCAATAGGGCGGGAGAGGTGAGACAGCACATGGCAGGTGGTGGTGGTGGAGGTGGTGGTGGTGGTGGTGGTGGTGGTGGTGGTGGTGGTGGTGGTGGTGGTGGTGGTGGTGGTGGTGGTGGTGGTGGTGGTGGTGGTGGTGGTGGTGGTGGTGGTGGTGGTGGTGGTGGTGGTGGTGGTGGTGGTGGTGGTGGTGGTGGTGGTGGTGGTGGTGGTGGGTGGTACTTACTGTAGGGGTCGATTGGCTCGTACTGGCGAGCGATGAGCAGAGCCGCCCGTGCCATGCCATGCCATTCATGCCATGCACGCATATGCCACGACAAGGCAGCAGAGAGGCACATGGAGTGGGGAGACGAGATGAATGAGGAATGGAAGACGAGATGAATGAGGAATGGGGGACGAGATGAATGAAGGCGAGAGGAATGGGGGTGCAGCCACCCATGAGCCAAGATTAACTTGAGGGTGTGAGAGAAGGGTGGGAAGGGGATGGGCGACGCAAGCAAGCAAGCAGCGTGGCACGGCATGCAGCATGCCCCACGGCACGGCACGACATGGCATGGCATGGCGTGTGGCACGCACCCAGGGCGAGAAGGCGGAGTTGATGTGGTAGCGGCACTCCAGGTTGGTGGCGCTGTATGAGAAGTCGCACTGCCGGGGGGGCGCACACGCACACACGCACGCGCACAGGCAGAGGGGCACGGGGGATAGGGGCACGGGGGATAGGGGCATGGAGCAGAGGCACGAGGAGAGGGGGGGGGGGGGGGGGGAGAGAGGCGATGATGCAGAGGAATGGTGTGTTTAGTGTGAAGAGTGATTGCAGCGGGGAGCAGGAGACTAGCAGTGCGAGGAGCAGTGGTCCACGGCAGTGAGTGGGGCACTGAGTGCAGCAGCAGCAGCAGGTGCAGCAGGTGCAGCAGGGGCAGCGTGAAAGATGCAGGGGTTGGGAGAAGAAGCGAGCGGGGTGGGTGGGCACGGCAGGGGAACAGGTGGGACTGGCTGTGAAAGCGAGCGGCGGGGAGAGGGACGGGGTGAGGGCCGGGGCGAGGGGCATGTGGAGAGAGGGGGGGAGGGGCGGGGGAGGGGGCGGGGCGGGGAAGGGGGCGGGGAGGGGGCGAGTGTACATTGATGGCGTCGTTGTAGAGGTCGGAGCTGAGCATGCCGTGGTCGTAGAAGAACTGGATGGGGCCCTGGTGGCGGGGGCGAGAAGGGTAGACGTGCGCATGGGGCGGGGTGGGTGGGCGGGTTGCATGGCGCTATGATACACATGCGCGGATGTGGCATGACCGGCACGCAGGGTGGGATGTGGAACGCAGGGATGTCGCAAGGACAAGAGAAGCTAATCATGCCAGTACACAACAAATAAGATTACATGTCCTTCAAACCAAAAAGAACACAGCGGGCAGCTTGCCTTGGTGTCATGTGCATAGTTCACAAACGGGTTGCCCAGGAAGATCCCCGAAAAGTCCAGGTTGAGCCGCGTGCCGCCGTCGATCTGATTCTGCTCGATGATGCGGGCGGCGAGCTGCGGAATGTAGTGGCCTGCGGAGAACGAGACGAGGTGGCCCGGGCGAGAGGGGAGCATGGCGAGTGGGGAGGGTATGAGGTGTGTGCGACACGGACATAGGGGCGGCGGGCGAAGCTGAATCTGAAGACGCAGAGGCGAGCGCACCAAGTTACTGCAAGCAAAGCTCCCAGCATACCCCTCCTTACCCGCGTAGCTCTCCCCCTTACCCGCGTAGCTCTCCCCCTTACCCGCGTAGCTCTCCCCCTTACCCGCGCAGCTCTCACCCTTACCCGCGTAGCTCTCCCCCTTACCCGCGTAGCTCTCCCCCTTACCCGCGTAGCTCTCCCCCTTACCCGCGTAGCTCTCCCCCGCGATGTAGAACTCTCTCCGCGCGAACCGCGGGTGCCGCGCCACGAACCCCACCAGGAACGCGTGGTTGTCCTTCGCTGGCGGGGGAGAGAGGGGAGCGGGGGGAGCGGTGGGGGCGGGAGGAGCGAGGGGGAGCGGGGGTGAGAGGGGCAGGCGGGATGGAGAGGCGGGGTGCTGATGAGCGAAGAGGGCAGCACGGGGTGTTGATGGCGCGGAGCAGAGGTAGCGCGCTCGCGCGCGGAAATGGCACGAGACTTAGGAAGTGTGAGTGAGTACCTGTCTGGTCGTCGTCGGTGGTGTAGTCGGCCGCGTCCGTGGAGTACGAATACCCCACGCCCACGGGCGACTCCAGGAACACTATGTTCACCACTGCGCGCGCCGGCAGCCAGGAGAGGAATGGCGGGGAGAGGGAGGGGAAAGAGGGGGAAAACGTGGGGGAGGGAGGGGGAGGTGAGTGCAGGGAGTGGCGCGGAGAAGCACGGAGAGTGCGGGTGCGGGAGCGGCGCGCGAAGCGTGTGGTTGAAATGGCATGTGCGCGAGCGAGCGGGCGGGGCGGGGTTGAAGGGATGTGCAGGAATGCGAGAGAGCGACGGGAGCATAGAAAGCGGCGGAAGCGAGGAGCGCGAAGAGAGCGGCGAGAGCGAGGAGGGCGGAGAGAGCGGAGAGAGCGGGGAGGGCGGGGAGCGCGCTGACGTCGGTTCCAGGCGTATTTGTTGTAGAGAAGCGCGGCGCCCGCCTTGGACGCGACGCGCCACGGCCCCACCTCCTCGAACAGCCCGCACCCCACCGACGAACACCCCGGGCCTGCCGCGCGCGCGGACATGGGTAGATGGGGCCAAGGGGAAAGGAGGACACAGGGAGAGGAGGACATGCGGGGACGGGAGGGGAATGGGGCGGGAAGGGGGAAACGTGAATGCGCGGGACATACGCGAGGGCGCGTGGTGCAATGCGGAGAGAGGACGGGTAGACCCAGGATTGCACGGACGCTTGTGCGGCTAGTTACTAAATTATCCGCGGGCCTGACTCGACACAAGGCTGATTCGCAACTAGGCTTTTGACCGCGAGAGACGAATAGGCGATAGCCCTGCTTAATGCCGTGCTAAAGGAGAATCCGAAATTTGACAGGATGCGGCTGCTCGAAGGAAACCATCAGAAGAGCATTCCTTCATCAACAAAGGCCAGTAAGCGTCGTCCAATAATGCACCGCCGTTGCGTGTTCTCTAACGCGCCGCGGTAGAGCGGTCTCTTGAGAGACTCACCGCCGCTGCGCTTGTCCTAAGGCTGGCGCGTATCCTAAAATCACCGCCGTTGCGCGTCTCCTAAGGCCGTCGCACGTGTCCTAAGTCTTACCGCCGTTGAGCCAGAGCAGCAGCGGCTTGGAATCGGCCTGCCCGATGGCCTCTACGAGCCAGTAGAAGTACGCCTTCCGCCCGTCCACCGTTATGTAGCCGGCTGACTGGTTGAACTTGGGCGCGCTTGCCGGCTGACCGGGTAGTTTCGCGACGGCATCTGGTCTGCCCTGCGCCGCTGCTCCCGGCGCGAACGGTAGGACTAGAGAGAGCAGCAGCGGCAGTAGACATTGTGCTAACGACAAGCGCGTTGTATTCTTGCCACGTAAATGCGGATTTAGTTTAAGAGTGTATGCCCTGAGGTGGATATGTCTCCGAGCTACGGCATTTCGACATGTGGAATGAGATCTCGCGGCGCGGCCAGACTGCATGTCGACGGACTGAACGACGTCGTCGAGGTGTAAGTTAAGCACGGAGAAGATCACATAAATAAACTACTGCCAGTGGGGCACGCGAGACGTAACGCGAGTCTACTAGTAGTGCGGCGACTAGATCAATTGCACCGACCGAGGAGAGTGAATGTGCCGAGAATAGGTGCTAAGCGAAATCCGTTTCGGTGTTTCGATGGACATGGATCGTACGAGAAGTGGAGGTAGCGAAGAGCTAACAGGTGAACATAGCTCACGGCTAACCAGAGCACTGCGTGGCGTCGCTGGTGCGGTCTGCGTTGTTCATGGGCCAACGGAGAACAGAATTTGCACGAGAGCACTTCTGCCAGAAACAAGTGATTAGCAGAGGTAAGGAACCTGGGGGATGGGGGGAGGGGGGAGGAGAGGGAGGGTGTGAATGGGGGTGGCGCGGGCGGAGGAGTGGTTGTTGTGTTGTGGGGCTGGCTGGCAGTCGAACTCTCAGCTGCCTCCCCCCGCGCCACGAGGCTGACACTACAGTACTAAACTCTGCGACCGTGAGGGGTTCCTGGTGTACGGTCGGTGGGGTTTGTGTTGGCTGGCTGGACTTGGCTGGGCTGTGCTGGTGGATACTGAACGTACACTTGTCATGCTGGACTTCCTCCAAGCTACGCGACAGTCAGAGCCTGTTGTGTGCTGACGAGCGCTTGTGTATGACGGGGGGGGAGGAGACACACAGCATCATCGCGCGCCACCAGGAACGGCTACAGAGGAACAGCTCATGTGCGATCTGTATCTGCTTATAAAAAGAGGAGAAAGGCTGCGGATGGAAATGGGTGAGGGCGACGTCAGGTTGTACAACTTTTTGTACGCCCTCTCCGGTAAATTTCGTTTCAACACGGTGAAGAGCGGTAATCGTCCAGAACCGCTTATCACCGTGTTGGACCGTCCTGAACCGTGATACAGGAACTGTAAGCGCGTGTGAAATGTATAACCTGAGGGTGAATCAGAATGGATGTCACCTGCTAGAAAATTGTCTGCCTGAATGAGTGCGACTGTAAATTGAGTTCACTAGATAGGCACGCCACTGCAATTCTAATTCCCGTATAGTAGTTGTTCCAACCCCTTCAATAGAAACACCCCCATAAATTGCCTCAAGATGTAGGAACAATTCCTTCCATAGAAACACCCCCATGCATTGCCGCAAGGTGTAGTGAACTTATGGAACATCTACAGTCCACAGGCAACTCTGGTACGGTAATTTGTAGAATTTGGCCTCCTCCTGCGAAGGTTGGCTCATGCATATGAACAGTGTAGCAAAACACAGTGTAGCCTCTGTAAGTCAGCACAATCATCTGCCACTACCTGTACCCAACAGAAGCGAGTCTACTTGATCAGCCAACCCTGCCACATCAGCACTGCCACCCGGCTCCTCTCCTCCACCACTGCCCCTCACACCTACGCTCCTCCCTGCCGCTGAATCCACCCCTCTGCTCGCCTCACCATGCCCCCGGGAACCTCCTTCCTCAGCAGCACCACTGCCCGCATGAGCCGCTGCAGACCTAGGATCGGCACGGCCGCCCGACCCTACCAGTGGAGGCCCTGCACGCACCTCTCCATGCCCCTGCCTCCCCGCCGCTGCTTCTCCCTGCGCCTCAGGAGAAGTCGGCTCAGGCCCGTCCAGCGAGGGCAGTCTGGGCGGCACTCGGATTTCGAGCAATGATTGCACGGGCTGGCGGCAGATGGGGCACTTGTTGGTCTGGTACCGCAGCACCTTGGCACAGTCCGCACACATGCACTGCCACGTGTATGGGTGAGTGGGGGTGTCGGACGAGGGGGGATGGGGAGGAGGAGGGGGAGTACCGTGAGGGACGCACAGGAGCGTTTGCACAACTGCAAAAGCAAGATGAATCGGATAAAGGTTTAATGAATGCAATGATCAAAGCAACAAAAGATGGTGCAGAAAATATGGAGAGTCCAGCAGCAACGGTGGAAGGGGTACCATGTGGCGGCAGGGCAGCACGGTGGTGTCTCTGGGCGCGGACATGCAGATCACACACTCCTTGCCCGCCACCTCGTCCTCCTCCTCCTCCTCGCCCCCCCCCAATGCCGACCCCTCACCCCCCGCTCCCTCTGCCTCGCCCTTTTTGCTCCTGCCCATGTTGGCCCGCCCGCACTGCTCGATGCCGTAGATCTCCTGCACGGACGGCCGACAATGGAATAGCGCACAGCCAGCCCAGGCAGCAATGGAGGGAAGAGGAGAAGGTGGGAGGAAGAGGGGGGGAGGGGGGGAGGGGGAGGTGAGTGTGGTGGTGACGTACAATGATGGGTGGCGGGTGAATGCAAGAGCGGGAAATGGGCGAGCAAAGGGTCGAGAGGAGCGGAGTGGTGCAACCATGAGAGTATTGGCCCCACACGCGCACGCACCTGCACCTCGTAGCTGGTGCCATCCACCCAGATCTTCTGCTTCACCGGCCGCACCACGTACAGCCCGGGCAGCTCCCCTGTGCCCTTCCCCTCCTTATCGCCCTCCGCCGACTCCCCTTCTCCCTCTTTCTCCGTACGCGTTACAGCGGCCTTCTCAAACACAGCGTAGGTCATCTGAGACTGAACCGACGGGGGCAGTGGAGAGCCTGGATCCGAGTCGCATGATTCTACGCCATGGCTGCTGCCGGCGGAGCACGGCTCCGACGACGACGCGCTCGCGGGCGCGCTGGACTGAACGTTACTGACACCGCTGCTACCGTTACTATTCCCCGATGCTACTGTCGCGGGTTTCGTTGTTCTGGGCTCGACGCGGGTGCGAATAACGAGCGGAAACACGGGGTTGGGGCCTGAAACCCTAAAGAGGTGCTCTTCTGGGATGCACGAGAGGTCGACGCCCGTGCCTGACGGCTGCACGAACTTCTGACCGAGACCCTTGGCGAATCGCACGACCGTTGGCGTGTGCACGTGCGGATACACCCCCCTGAGGCTGCACCCCTCGCCCTCCTGCGCCGCGAAGAACACGCTCACACTGCACGCGTACGGGGGGATGGCCAACGCAAACGACGAATTACAAAAAGTTGACAAATTGACTTAAACAAACCTAACGGAACATAATAAATTCGCGTGGTGACTAAAGATCGAGCATCGCAACGCACCTGCCGCTGGTGGTGGCGTCGAAGGTGAAGGCGACGAGGTGCTTGCTGGGATCTGCCGGGTCGCGTAGCAACCGCAGCGAGCTGCGCTTCACGTTCACCTCGTTCCGTATCGTCACCGCTTGCTGCGGCTCCGCTACCACCGGCGGAGGCGGCACCGGCATCATCGGCGGAACCGGGACCTGGTATGGCGGTGGCGCGTGCCCGGGATATCCGCCGTACCACGGCGCGGCGGGCGGAGGATGCGGATAGTGCGGGTTGTGCTGCCACGAAGAGGGAGACACTCCGCCGCCGGCCTGCGGGTGGTACGCGTATCCGTAGGGATACGGCGCATGGCCATATGGGGCTTGCGGAACGGCGCCTGCGGGGACGGAGTAGGGGACGGGCGGGTAGTACTGCGGCGGCCTGGCTGGCTGCGACCGACGATGCTGCTGATGCGCGGTTTGACTCGAGCCGGCTCCCATGGCTGCCTACCAACTTAGGATAACGTGTTGAAGAAGATCCGCACGGAGTTAGTTTATAAGTCGCGGACAAATTCAATGGATTACATAACGAATCGAACATAAGCCATTGGAGCGGCGGTGAAACCCGGCAAGACGTGGTGAAAATTCGCTAAGCCATCCTTTAATGCACAAGAAAAAGTATTCTACTTCCTCCACTTCCTCCAGATGGCGGACCTTGCCTAAACGACTTTCGCAGTACTGAGAGCTCCAGGGAAACAGTGAAGGGAAGAAGAGTGTGATGAGATGAGATGAGTGCGGTGCAACTGTTGGGTGGGAGGGAGGCATGCATGAATGAAGCAGTGGATGCGCGCACCAGAGCAAGGGTGGGGGGGAAGAGCGTGACAGAGGGCGCGGACGACAGCAGCAAAGAAGGCGGAGGTGCAGATTTGCGCGGGGTCACGGGGGTTCTGCAGGGGTACAGCGGAGTGCGGAACAGTGGGAGGGAGGGGCGGGTGCGCAGTGCCGTCAGCAAAGAGATCCAGTGTCAGCAAAATGGCGCAGCGCAAATGGCACGACCAATCACGTTGCGGCAGAGAACCTAGAACACATCCAACCAAGTACCTGTCTTGAACAAGAAAGCGGGTGTTACAAGAATGCGAGTTACACATTTCGAAAAGTGGTCGCAACATGGTTACATATTGTTAAAAGTGAAATTCTGCTGAAACGCGTGTCAAGGCTGGTGTCGGCAGAGTGGTCCACCTCACGTCCTATGGACGCGGGGCGTTGATGTGCTGGAAAATGTCTTGCGTCATCCAGACCACACGTCCAAGGAGATCCCAAAGGACAAACCTCCAGGCTGTCACAACTACAGCTCAAAACCACATGACAGGGCGCCCAGATTGTTCCCGTACCAGCCTATATGGCATTCCTTCACGCGTTGAGATCGGATGACTCTCGTTGGGAGCCAATGGTGCGGGTTGCATGTCGTGGTGCCACGTGCCACCAAGCCTTGCCCTGGTCTTCCCAAGCCTTTCTGTGAGGCTGGTTGAGTTCCTTGGCTGCACGCCTTTCCGCTTGGCCTCCACCAGCCTCCCCCCGCGTCCACCACCCTGAAAACCATTCTTCATGCTTCCCGCATTCGCTTTTGTTCAAATCCCAACCAGCTGTTGCTTACCATTCATGGCCCCGCCCCGAGCATGAAGGTGCTGAATCTTCCGATATTCTAAGCCTTAAAGCAGTAGCCAGCGAAAAGCTCTTATTTTGTTTCAGCACTTTGGTGCTCGGATTGCGGCAATGGCTAGTACCGTCGGAATGGCGTCGTTGGGCAATACATGCACAGTTGCAGTGACCTCCCTAACCACTGTACGTCTCAATTTTCCTTACCAGTAAACAAATCAAATGAGTTAATCCAGACATTGCTGGCTGAGACTGTTTTAATTATATAGAGACACAAACATTGCTGGGTGATTGCTCTGATTGCATGTACTGCATCTGTGAATGGATTTAAATGCATACAGCCTTTGTCTGGATTATTCGTTTTCAGTCTCGCAGGCCCTGTAAGCTTCAGGCGAATGTTGGCTGGTCCAGCAGCACTCTCCTATGTCGCACCAGCAGATGGGCTCCAGGTTGGTCAATTCATGTCCAACTCTTTGTTCCTCTGCCTCGGATGACTTTCACCTCCTTCTCATTTCAGCATTTCGAGCGTTCACGTGAGCTCTCACCTGTCTTCACCCTTCCCTTATGCTTCCCTCTGGTCTCCGTTAAAATTCTTCAATGCATTATTTCCTATGCTGAAGAACCATTCTTACGTTTCACACTTGTCCCATGATCATTCCCATGGTCCGCCAGCTTCTATGTCTCGAGTGGCCGGAATCCCATCGGTTCATTGCGGCAGCAGCAACCCCACCCCCCGTCGCGACGGCGCTGGCATTTCCACCGCCTCCAGCCGCGCGGAAGACCTCCCCGCAGCAACCACCAAGTCCGGCCGCTCGGCCAGGGCTCGCAAGGATGCTACTGACGAGGACAACGGCAGCGCTGTTGAGAAAGCTGACCCCATTCGCCGACGCACCCGCGCGAGCAGCAGCAGTGGAGCAAAGGACAAGAAGAGCAAGACGGCTAAAGGTACCGGAGACGCGGAGGAGCAGGCAGACGCAGCGGCTGGGGGGGTATCCGGGGGGGAGAGGAGGCGGAAGAGCAAGGCGGCGATGAGCGAGAATGAGATTCGGCTGGCGCAGCTGCGGCAGGAGCTGCAGGCGGCGCTGGAGGAGCGCCAACGCCTCGCCGCGTTGCTGCAGGGGAAGGCGGAACCTGAGGAGACGGCAGCTGCGCAGACCGTGCGCACGCCTGTGGACGCGGGGGAGGCGGCGGCAGCAGCAGCGGTGCGGAAGGCGTCCGCGGAAAGGGCGCGGGAAGAGTCCTTGGCGCTGAAAAAGGAGCGAGAGGCGTTGAGAGCGGTGCAGGCGGCGGAGAAGGCGGAAGAGGAAGCTGCACAGGCGCGCGAGCGGGAAGAGGCCGCGGCGGGGATGCGCGAAGTCGCAGCGGCACGCGCGCGTGCTGATGCGGAGGCGAAGGCGGCGGAAGAAGCAGCGGCGATGGCGAGTCGCGAAGCGGCCGCACGGGCAAGGGAGGTAGCAGAGGCGCGCGCGAGGGCGGAAGCTCTAGCGAGGGAGCGCGCGGAGGCGGAGGCGAAGGCGCGGGCGGAAGCAGCGAAAATGGTGGAGCTGCCGCGGCAAGAGCAGCTGCGGAAGCTGCAGCAGGAGCACGAGTTCATCGCCGCAAAAATGTTCTTCTACCCCGGGCAGGTGGAGCCGGGCAAGCCCGTCGAAATCTTTTTCCACCGCCCGGCAAGCGTGCTGAAGGATAAGTCGGGCGTGAACGTGGTGGGCGCGTTCAACAACTGGCAGTGGCAGCCGTTCAAGGCGGAACTGAAGCCGTCCGCCGAGGTGCCCAACGACTGGTGGACGTGCCGCATCGAGGTTCCCGAGGAGGCGTATCAGGTGGACTTTGTATTCCACAGCACGGACAACGTGTACGAGAACAACGGCGGGCAGGACTTTTACATCGCCGTGACTGGCGGCATGGGCGAGGAAGAGTTTGAGACGATGCTTAATGAGCGCAAGAGGGAGGAGGCGGAGCGGGAGGCCGCGGAGGAGGCGGAGCGGGAGCGGCGCGCGGCGGAGGAGCGCAGGGTGGCGAAGCTGAAGGCGCAGCAGGAGGCGGAGCGGAAGCAGGCGCGCGACATGGCGAACGACGCGCGGAACCGGCTGGGGGAGATGCGGCGCACGTGTGGCACGAGCCTTCAGGGCGTGTGGCGCGTGGAGGAGGTGGGGCGCACGGAGGGGGGCGAGCGCGTTGTGCGGCTGCTGTATAACAGGGCGGGGCGACCGCTGGCGCGGAGTGGCGCGGTGTGGGTGCACGGGGGGGTGAACGGGTGGCAGGACGGGCTGTCCGCGACGGGCGAGCTGAAAGCAGATAACCAGGAGAACGGCGACTGGTGGTCCGTGGAGTGTGAGTGCTTCATAACTCCCCCCTTCACCTGCAATGTAGCCCGCTCCCTCAGACAGCGATGCCTCCCATCCTATTCACACCCTCCCCCCTCCCCCTCCCCTTCGTCTTCCTCCTACTTCCCTTCCCTCATCCCCCAGGCCCCCGTTCCGTCCCGTCTCCCGTGCATCTCTCCCCTCTTTCGCCCAATCCTATCTCCATGCCCCCCTCACTCTCCCCGTATTCTCCCACCCATCCCGCGTTCCCCCCTCCCCCCAGTGACGCTGCCGGCAGACGCGGTGGTGCTGAACTGGGTGATGGCGGACGGGGCGGTGGGCAAGGCGGGCGCGTACGACAACAACGGGCGCAAGGACTTCGCGGCCAGCGTGGGCAGCGACGAGGACGCGCGCAGGCTGTTTGACGAGCTGGAGGAGCGCCTGCTGGTCAAGCTGGAGACGGAGCGCATTGCTCGTGAGGAGCGCGAGGCCAAGGAGGTGAGAGATGGTGGGGGAGGGAGGGTTGGCAGCGGTGGGTGTGCTTGATGTGTGAGGGTGACTTGACAGGATGAAAGGAAGGGTAACAATGTATAGAGACGAAAGCGGAAATATAGTTTCGACAAGCAAATGCACGCAAGCGCTGGCACATTTGCATTGCGTTGGCATGGGCCTGGCCCTCCCGCACTCCCACGCACTTGCACACATATGTACCTGCGCTGCATGCTCTTATCCTCACTCGCTAATGTGCACTCACACCGCCATCCACTCCTATACACGCCCACCTCGTCGGTAACCATGGGCGTGGTGTCAGAACAGAACATTCCTCAGTTCACTCAGAATGACCTCTCAGTCCGCTCAAATGCCACCACGGGCTAATTGCCTTGAGAAGCAATAGAAGGCATGTTTTCAAAACACACCACGCTCCCCACTCCGGTGTGCCGAGCACAGCAAGCACACACGGAAACCCACTCTGTTTTGCCTGCGCTTCTCTCAGCACCCCCTTGCTGCCTCTTCATCCTCTTCCCATCCCCACACACTCCCCACACGCTCCTCCCATCACAGGAGGTGAGGCGGCAGGAGGCGAAGCGGGCAATGAAGCGGCGCACCATGGAGACGTTCCTGCAGTCACAAGCCCACGTGTTCTTCACGGAGCCCGCTGAGCCGCGCGCCGGGGAGACGGTGCGCGTGTTCTACAACCCCCAGAACACCGTGCTGCACGGCCGCCACGACGTGTGGATGCGCGGGTCCTTCAACCGCTGGACGCACCGCACCGGGTGCTTCCTCCCCGTGCACATGCGCCCCGCCTCCAATGGCACGCACCTCGTTGGCGAGGGTGAGTCGTAACCCCGTGTTGCCTGTCATGCAAGCTGCCTTGCCCAGGGCCGTGCAGTGAGCGTTCTTGAGACTGCATGCCCCGTGCAGTGTTCATACATGGCTGCCACTCATTGCCGTGCTGCTGCATCCGTCCGCGCATCACACCCTTCACATCACCTACCTCACTTTCCAGTGGCGGTGCCCCAGGTCGCGCTCAGAATGGACAGCACCCACCAGGTCCATTCTGAGCGCGACCTGGGGCACCGCCACTCGTGTTCATGGACAGCACCCACCCCTCGTGCGCCTCACCACCGCCCACTCTACCTCCCTACTCTACCATCTGCCCCTGTGCATCCACCCACCCCTCCACACCGCAGTGACGGTGCCCCACGACGCGTTCATAATGGATCTGGTGTTCATGGACAGCAGCGACCCCAACGTGGCGGCATATGACAGCAGGGGCGGGCTGGACTACCACGTGCCCATAGTGGGCAGCACCACCAAGGAGCCGCCTCTCTACATCGTGCACGTTGCGCTTGAGATGGCGCCCATCGCCAAGGTCAGTCAGACAGACTCCACATTCCGCGCATCGCCAGTGTGGTATGCCGCGCCTCCATCCATCCATCTCATAATCCCACCACCCCCGCCCTTTCCACTCTCCTCCCCCTGCTCCAGAACTCTCTTCCCCCATGCCCCCCCTCCCTCGCATCCATCTCCCTCTCTCCCGTCTCCGCTTACCACTCATCTCTCTTGTCCTCACCAACCGCTCTTGCTGTGGGCATGCGGATGTGTGCCTGCCATTACGGTGCATTGGCATGTGATGAACTACCATGACAATGCATGGCGCATGGTATGTGGCATGTGGCACATGCAGGTGGGGGGTCTGGGCGACGTGGTGACGTCCTTGTCGCGAGCCATCCTGGAGCTGGGGCACAAGTCGGAGGTCATTCTGCCCAAATACGACGTCCTCAAATACGACTGCGTGAGTCACACCTCCTCACACATACTACAGCCATGTGACATGCGCCTGAAAAACCACTACCCGACAATATTTCAGCGAATATGATTCTCGCCTATGCGAGCATTCATTTGATCCACAAGTACCGCTAGGAACCGCACTCATGATCACCACAGGCAGCTGTACATCTTCTCCTGCACGTTCTCCTGTCCCTCTCCCCACGACTTCCCACGAGCCCGCGTCTTACCTCACTCCACCACGCCTCCTACCCGTCATTCCAACTCACCACCCTCCCTCTCACACACGCGCGCCCTGCATGGCACATTGCAGATCCAGGACCTGCAGGACCGGGGGTCGTTTGCATGGGGCGGCACCAACTGGCGCATGTGGTTTGGCTACGTGGAGGGCATTGGCGTGCACTTCCTTGAACCCGAGAGCGGGTGAGCAGCGGAGAGGGGGGAAGAGAGGGTGGGGAGAATGGGATGGATTGGTGTTTGGGCATGGAGGGACCGGATGGCTGAATGGGATGGAGAGGGGACGGATGGGCAGAAATGGGGCATGCGTGGTGATTAAACCATTGCTGTCGCTGCTTGCTTCACCCCATTCCGCGTTTCTGGTCATTGATAGCATTTTTTCCCTGTCACTCACCTGTCAAAACCCAACCTCCGCATCAGCTCCGCTCATCCTCTCTCTGCATCCCTCACCATTCCTCATGCATCCCCCCTCTCTGACCCCTCTCGTCCCCCCCGGGCAGCATATTCTGGGTGAACTGCATCTATGGCCGCAAGGACGACGGGGACCGCTTCGGCATCTTCTGCAACGCCGCGCTCGAGATGCTCGTGCAGACCGGCAGGCAGCCGGTCAGTCATTCCCCCCCTCCTCCTCTCAATCCTGCTTGCTGCTCGGATCACCCCTTTGCTGTGCTGCCATGCCCCATGACTGGCTCCATGCTCCATGCTCTGATGCCCGCTTCCACTCTCCCGCACTCGCAACCCTCACCTGTCCTCGTCATGCACTCCCTCATCCACTTCCTTGCGCACCCACCTATCTCCACCACCCCCGTATCAGTCAACACACCCTCGCCATCCAACCTCCGTCTCATCGCCCCCCCTCAGGACATTCTGCACTGCCACGACTGGTCGTCGGCGCCAGTGGCATGGCTGCATGCGGAGAGCTACAAGCAGTACGGGCTGGGCAATGCGCGCACGGTGTTCACCATCCACAACCTCGAGTTCGGCCAGGCTCTCATTGGCCGCGCCATGGCCGCCTGCAACATGGCCACCACCGTCAGTGCTTCCCCTTCCGTTCCCCCGTTGCTGCTGCTGTCCCCTCGGCTGCCACCCCTGCTGCTGCTGCCCTTGCTGCGATGTACTGCCGCCTCTACTGTGTTACAGTGTCAGCTCTTGTGTGCTACATTGCCTTACCGTGCCATGCCACTCACTCCTACACCTCACTCGCTCATTGCCTTTCTATGCAGGTGTCACCCACATACGCGTGGGAGATCGGGGGCCACGGGGCGGTGGCAGCGCACAGGGGCAAGTTCCACGGCATCCTCAACGGCATCGACCCGGACATCTGGGACCCCATGACCGACCGCTTCCTCCCGGTACGTGCTCTGCTCCCTTCACATCTCACTCCAACTTCCCCAGGCTTGCATGCTGAGCTGTCTGCGCATCATCGCACGGAAATGCCCTCCTGTTTGCATGCTTCCTTCATTGTTTGCATGACTACTGCACAAGCACCCCACCAGTTCCCCCTGGCCTCACCTGTCCCCCTTGCGCTTCCCCGCCACCAGATGCGGTACTCATCGGAGGAGGTGGTGGAGGGCAAGCGAGCGGCCAGGGACGAGCTGCGGAGGCGGCTGAACCTGCGGTTTGACGACCGCCCCGTGGTGGGCATCGTGACGCGGCTCACGGCACAGAAGGGCATCCACCTCATCAAACACGCCATCTGGCGCACCCTCGACCGCGGTGGACAGGTGCGGAGGGATTGGTGCAAGTGGTGAGGGTGGTTGGGCGGGACGGGGGGTAGTGGGAGAGTAATGCATGGGGGTGTGGAAGGTGAGGGAGAACACCGTGCTGTGGAATGCTGGTACCAGACAAGGTCCATGCCAGCTTCTGTCATGGGCACACGTCCTGTGACCCAACCCCTGTGTGTTGTACTGAAGACCCGCCACGCCCGTGCTCATGCCCATGTGTGTATGTGTGTGTGTGTGTGTGTGGGTGCATGCAGGTGGTGCTGCTGGGGTCGGCACCGGACCCGCGAGTGCAGAGCGAGTTTGAGCACCTGGCGGGGCAGCTGAACAACTCGCACAACAACATGCAGCGCCTCTGCCTCAACTACGACGAGCCCCTCAGCCACCTGGTGGGCCACCCCTCAATTCATGCATTGCTCCATCGCACTTGGATGTAGCTCCTGGGGCACGGGGCTGTGTCTTATTGCTCTGCCCACATTGCTTCTGCTTATCCCTTATCCTTCCTGTTGCTGTGACCCGTGGCCGCACCTTACCTTGAAACCCGTGCACCCCATGTTCTTTTACCCTGCACTCACATCGCCCATGCCCCCTCACCTCATCCTGTGTCCCGTGCCCCTGCCTTCCCCCCTGTGCAATGTGTGGCATGTGCACTGCTCATGGCAGATCTATGCAGGGTGCGATATGATTCTGGTGCCATCCATCTTTGAGCCCTGTGGCCTCACGCAGCTCATCGCCATGCGCTACGGTGCCGTGCCAGTCGTGCGCAAGACAGGAGGTCAGCCCTCTCTCTCTCCTTCCCTCGCATCATCTCACTCACCCCCTTGTTCCCTTTCCCCCTCCTCTCATTGACACAATGGCTGTGAGCTAAACTTTCCCTTTCTGTTGCCATCCTCACTCCCCTGTCCCCCTTTCCTCCCTCTCCCTCTCCCTTCCCCCGCCCTTTCCGGACCTTCCCTTCCGTCCGCCTCCCAACCCCTCCCGGCATGCACGTGCTCTCTGTGTGGCAGGGTTGAACGACACGGTGTTTGACGTGGACAACGACCACGACAGGGCCAGGGCGCAGGGCAAGGACGTCAACGGCTTCTCCTTCGAGGGCGCCGATGCCGCCGGCCTCGACTATGCCCTCGACAGGTAACGCATGCCTTGGTCTGCAAGTCTTTCCTGCGAGCCCTTCACAGAAATGGAAATAGGTTTCGATTGTCAATGTTCTGCACTCTGAGATTGTATGCACGATCCTAAATATCGACCCCCCTCTTTCACCTCTTAGTATGCTAATCATTCCCCTTCCCCCCCCCCCTCTCCGATTGCTCCACTTGGTGCCTTCCTCCTCTATGAGCAGAGCCATATCTGGGTGGTATGACGGGCGCGAGTGGTGGAATGGGTTGGCCAAGCGGGTCATGGAGCAGGACTGGACTTGGAACAGACCGGCGCTCGACTATCTCGAGCTCTACTATGGCGCTAGGAAATGAGCTCGCAAGTGCACTAGGCAATAAGCAATGAGACGAAAAAAAAAAAAAAAAAAAAAACCAGATCTTATTCCTTTGTATGGTTTGCGACCTCATGAACGTGTTTCCTAAGTACTCGAGTTGCGAATACTTCGCCTGATGTTTCCCGACATAGTCCCAACTGTACGTTTTATGTATGCTGAGTCATATACAAACCATCGTCTTGTACTAAGAATGAGCAGGGTATGAACTCACCATCATGGATGCATTTTTTGTTTGCATATGGATTCCTTAGAAACATAGGCCTGACTTAAACAGCTTACTACCGGGCCTGTCCATTATGCGTCAAGCATCGTGGAAAGGACTGGTCATGATGCTAAAGGTCGCTGGATGGCCGTACGCTTGCCACCGCAGCGATTCAGTGAGTGTGAATTTGTGGTGACCAGGCAATCTCAGTTTGTGGAGCGTTATCCGCACTTTTTCCGATCCACCAATCCGCGCGCTGCTCTCAACTCTGTATCGTTTTCAAACACCTGACTTTCGCGCTTCGCATGATCCTATCGTCGCTCCAAGAATTTCGGCAAGCGTTTCGCATCCCGCTTTTTGTCTGGCGCAGAGGGTAACGTTGAGACGGACCTCTCGTCTAGTGGTGCGCTGAATGGTTGTGCGACTGTGCGACCGGGAAGCACGTCGCGATGACCGTCAATCGGTCGCACATTGTGGATGTCATGCGACAAGGCGCCTCCACACCACACAGTGGACGAGTGGCGAATGTGCAGGCTGAGGAAATCTTCCCTCGCACGAGCCACCAGTTTTCCTGAACAGGCAATGCCATGTCACTTTCGCGAATCCCATTTGTGCAACCACCTCAGGCGAAAAAGCAGCACATTTCGCGACCTCTTTTCCATGATGTCGCGCAGGGCTGGCGATCATCGTCAAGCACCAGGGCTGGTGGTGGTTGCGCTCACTCATTCCAGGCTCCATCCACCCCCATGGTCAGCTCAGGCCACATCCATGGCTGCCCCTCGCAGCTCGCTCCTCATCCACTCATCCTCATCCATGGGAGCCCGAGCAGAGCACTCGTCTGTGTTCTCTCCGACTCGATCGTATCCCTCACCACCATTCACTGCCCCACTCGGTCCCACCCACCCTCCAACGAAGCTGCCTTTTCCCTGTGACGGATTGCGCGCTGTGATTGGCTGCTAGAGGAGCAGGTGATTGAGAGCATATGCCATATCCTTGCCCGCAGGAGCAGGCAGGACCTTCAATGCCCTACAAGCAGCCGAATGAGCAAGGCTAGCTCGAGTGTGGCTCCACATAGCTCCTCGCATCATTAGGAATCTATTCCTGACCAGCCTTGTGCTGTCGGACAGCCACTCGTCCATTCACAGCGGATTCGCTCTTGTCCCTCGATATCACCACGTTCCGCCTCACTCGCTTGCTCCCTTGTATTTCTGTAGCCCTCGATCGCCTCCCCCTTCCCTCCGCTACCCGACCGGCCGCCGCCATGCCGCCATGGGAAACGTACCTTGCGCGGCCACCGCTGCAGGCGCAGGTTTCTTATCCGCATGACACGTGGCAGAGCGCCGTATCGTGCGACAGTTTCGCACACGACGCGGGTTCGTGGCAGCACACCATCGCTCAAGCCCCCCCGCCACTACCCGCCTACCTCTCCTCCGCGCTTTCCGCGCTCGCTTCTGCGCATCCCTCTCATCTTCCGGACCGCGCATTCTCCCCATCTCTCCCACACCACGCGCAAGGCCAAGCCCTCTCCGGGCCGTCGGTGCTTCCGCCGAGCTTGCCCTCCGCGCCCTTCACGTCGTCCGCCTTCGCCTTCCCCTCACTCGCCCTCGAGACCTCTCTCTCCGCGCTCTCCCTCTCTCTCCGCTCGCAGTCCCCGCCTGACCTACCCGCGCGCCCTTCTCTCCCCCACGCCGCTTCCGCGGGGTCTCTCCGCGCCCTGGCTTCCGCCGCGGTGTCCGCGCCCACCTTTGTGCCATCTGCGCCGTGTTCGGCGGACTATGACAGCAGCAGCAGCGGTCGTCGCAGCGCGAGCTTGATTCCCTATCCGGGGGAAAAGGCGACACACGCTACGTCGTCGGGTTCGAGTCCGTCGTCGCCCGCGTCGTTCGTGTCGTCCGTTTCGTCGTCAGTCGCCGGCCATGCGACGACGGCGGATTTGTCGCACGACTCGCTTCCTGCCGACAACCCTTGGTACGTGTCGTCGCCTGCGACGTTGGCCCCCGCGGATGGCGCAAAGGGCGAGGCTGGCGCAGCGGCGGCTGGAGGCGGAAAGGCAGGTTCGGGGGAGGCAGCAGGCGGAGAGGAAATTCCTTATGCGCTTCCCCGCGCAGTTGGCAGCACGGTGGAAGAGCCGGTTGCGGCGGGCGCGGCGCATGCGGCACACCCGACACGCGAGACACCGGCGACACATGCGGAGGAGGTGGAACGACTTCAGCAGGCCGTTCGGCGGGCGGAAGCTGCTGCGGCGGAAGCGCAGCAGGCGGCTGCGATGGCGCAACTGGAAATGGCGCAGATGCATCGCGCGTGCGGGGAGCATGCGCGGCAGGTGGTGCGCCTGCGGCGCGAGCTGGATTCCGCGGGAGACGCGCACCTGCAGCTAGCAGCGGAGGTGGCGTGTCTGCGCGGGGAGCTGGCGGGCGCGGGGGAGGTGGCGGCGCAGCAGGCGGGACAGGCGGCGCGGCTGCGGCGGGAGCTGGAGGGGACGCAGTGCGTGGTGGTGCGGCAGGCGGCGGAGGCCACTCAGCTGCGGCGCATGGTGAAGGCCGTGCACGCGCTCGACGTACGTTGCGCGCGCGCCACTTCCCCCTGATGCCGCCCTTCATTCTGCTTCTTTCGCGGCTTCTCTACATTCTCTTCCACGTCATTGCATGCCCCCTGGTTCCTATCTCCCATCCGTCCCCTCATTCTCTCGTCCCTATCTCTCTCCACGTCTTCCCCCCCCTCCCCCGCGCCCCCCTTCCCCCCGTCAGCTGGTGCATCTGGAGGACTTCGCCATCGCAGCGTTACAGCACGACCTCAAGGCGGAGGCGCGCCGCGGCCTGCCGGCTGCGGACGCGGCGCTGTTAGATGCGCCGGACGAGTACGGCGGGTGCCGGCAGTTCTACCAGACGGGCTGCTGCCACTTCGGCCGCGGGCGCCGCCCGTGCCCCAACGAGGCGAGTCATTTCTGCCTGCGCTGCGGCCGCGCGCACGGCACGGCGCCGCACCTCGTGCTGCTGAGACGCCTCAACGATCGCTGCCTGCTGCCGCAGTGACTGGACTCACACACACATGCTTGCCACGCGCTCTGCACATCGCATTGATCGCGGCTCAAGCCTCGCAACGACTCTCGTCACTGACCTTCTGTTGCCTGCTGGGCCGATCGATCCAGCAAGTTGTGATCGAATCATGACCAGCAGCATCACTGTTCCAGATCAGCCGTGAAACGATTGTCTCCTCTTTCTCCACACACTCGCAGCTCCTCTGCCCGCCCGCCACACACCGGAGCCTGCGCCCCTCTTTTCCATGCCAGCACCACACTGCATCGAGTCATGGGTGTGGCTGCACGGGGCTAGCCATGCCCACGCACGTCCCTTGTGCCGTGCCTCTCCGCCTGCCATCTTCCCAAGCCCATGTAGCGCTGCTGTCGCCTGCTTGCTGTGGCCACCCCTCTCTGCAGCCGTGTTGTCACCACACCGCACCGTGGCACAGCTGGGTTACCTGTCAACCATCACTGTGCTGCCCTCCCTCCCACCCATCACACACGCCCCCAGCACCACGCACAAGCGATGTGCGCTGGTTCACTTGGCTCAGTGACTAGTGCAACTCACTATTGGCGGTTCTGCCGGAGGTGTATTGAAGCTCTTGGGTTGCTGCGGGCGCATAGCACCGCCATGTTTTGCTGCTGCCTTACTAGCTTGCATGGACAGGCAGCCTTCCAGCTTGCTGCTGGGAGCTCTCTTGATCTTGTCGGCTGTTTGGGCATCAATGCCCACCTCTGTGTCATTCGGTGCTTATTGTTATGCTGTAACCTCTTAAAGATATGCAATGCACTAGTAAAAAACAGGTGCGCTTTCGTAGGCTCCCATGTCCCTCTGGGAGGCACAAATTCAGATCGGACTGGCATCGATCGATTACGTGGCTCTCTTTGGAACAAGCCCCTGAACGAAGATGTTCAGGCTGTGGGGAAGCTTGAAAACCAGAACAGATGCGATTTGAAGGGGGGAGGGGAGGGTACACGTGGGGGCCCCCTGACTTCGTGAAGAAACAGGCCCGGCCGGCCCAGCACAGGAGTTTCAACAAACCTGCGGTATCTCCAAAACCTCAACTTCTCAGGCTTCAGGTTGAAACTATGTATGCAATGCCAATTGTACATACGGTACCAGTATCAGTAGTCACACAATCGTGTGTCACCTTCACCAAGCAGGTACCGTATAGCCCCATTTAGGTAGCAATACACCGTATTAAAAAAAAAACCACAATGCTTTAAAGTGTCACCACCGCTTCCAGCCAAGATTGAAAGGGTTGCTGAACCCAAACCGCCCTCCTTGTGCCGCCCCATTGCCACCCGACGGACCATCACCCCTCTTAGCCTCCACCCTGCCACTCTGCCTCAGCCCGTCACAAATCTGCTCCGTGATTGGTGACTGATACTCCTGCGGCACGTTCTGGCAGAACCGGGCAGCCTCGTCAGACTCCACCGAGGGAGCCACGAGGGGCACGAGCGATTGTAACCGCGTAACGGCGGCGCGTTGGGCCTCCACCTCTGCTTCCATGGCGTGTAACCTCTCCATTGCCAGTACGCTCTCTGTCTCTGTCTCCCCTGCTACCTGCTCCAGTGCCCTGCTGGCCTGTGTGGCTGCATCCAGCTGGGCCGACAGGGTGTTGATCTGCCAGAAAGAGGATGGATAGGAGGGAGTTGAGGGGAGGTAGGGTTGCTGCCTGCCTTCACTGGATCTGCTGTCTTAGCAGCCTTTATGATGGGGGTGAATAGCTGGGAACGAGCGGGACTCAACTTCCTTGTTTCCAGGCAGGACAGAAGGAAGGGACAACGAACAAAGCATGGTGTCCTCTGGAGCTGACCTTGTTGGGGCAGAGACTCGCACGGACCTGGTTGGATCGGGCCGTCTCAGAGAAGTAGCTGTTGTGAATGGCCAGCGGCGCCACCACAGCCAGCGCCAGGGACCCCCCCAGCGCCCACTGCAGCGCGCCCGCCTGCTGCAGCAGCTCCTCCCGCTGCTGCGCCGCCTGCTGCTCCACCTCCCCCACCACCTCCCTCAGCGGGCGCCCGTCCACCTGGCAGGCGGCGTCCTGCTCTGCCAGCTGTGCGTCCAGTGCTTCTCTCAGCTGCTGGGCCTCCGACACCAGGTGGGCACTGCGGTGCGTGATGGCTGATGCCTCCTCCGATACCCGGTCCATTAGTACCCTGTGGGCAGGTGGTGGGGGTGAGGAGAGGTGGGGGAACGGGGGTGGGATAGGGGCATGGGGTGGTGGATTGAGTCGGTGATTGCGTGGCACGTGGGGTGGTGAACTTGTGTGATTCTGTGAGGCATTCCGATCCCACAACACACACGGGTGAACACGCATACACATGGCGACCTCACACTCACTTGAGCAGCTCCAGAGGGTCCTCCACGCCCTCCATCTGTCCCTCCAGCTCACCCTCCGCCGCCACCGCTGCGCCCTGCACGCCCACCTCCCGCCGCACCCACTCCTCATTCCCCTCCGCACCCCCGCCCCCTCCTCCTCCTCCCACCTCCACCCCCACTGAACTCGCCACGCTCTGTGCCGCATCCGCCACCGCTGCCAGTGGCGCCAGCGCCGCGAGGGGATTCAGAGGGCCCAGAGGGCTGAGAGTGCTGAGGGAAGAGGCGTCTGTGTCCAAAGAGAGGCTCCAATGCCGCCCTGCTTCCTCCGTGTCTGTGCCATGCTCCTCCGAGAGTGCTGAGAGTGCTGAGCCTGCCTCGCGCCTCCGCCCGTGCGCGTCCACCCAGTCCAGCTCAGCTTTGAGCCGGGTGACGTGGCGCGCCATGGCTGCCAGCTGGACGGAGAAGACGGCGGCCTGCGCCCGCAGCTCCTCGCCCTGCTGCTCCGCCGCCGGCAGGTGCACTGACAGGGCCGCCTCGCGCTGGGCTTGGGCCGCCTCGCTGTCCTTGAGATGCATGGCCTGGGGGTGCGAGGGAGGGGAATGGAAGGGGGAGGGTAGTGGAGAAGGGATGAGAACAGGGGGGGGGTAGAGAAGTTGGTGGGCAGTGGTGAAAGAAGTGCCAAGTGGGGAGGGCGAGAGAGAGCAGGAAAGGAAAAATGGAGAGAAGCGACTTACCTCCAGCGACAAGCGGCTGATAGCCTCGGTATTGGCAGCCACGGCAGCAGCAGCATCAGCATCCCGCCCCTGCAGGTGTACCACCTCGCTCTCCACCCGCTCCGCCCTGCGAGCGGCCTCAGCAGCGGTCATCTCGAGTGTGTTGAAGCGCCCACTCAGGAACGTCACTCGCGCCGCTGCTGCACTCGCTCTCTGCTGTGCTGCTGCCGTGCGTGATACCAGCACCGCCATCTGATGGGGGAGAGGAGGGGCAGCGAGGTGGAGAAGGGAGAGTCGGGGATGTCGGGAAACACAATCTCTTTATTTTCTTACGGCTGTGCTGCACTGGCTCTCTGCTGTGCTGCTGCCGTGCGAGACACCAGCACCGCCATCTGTTGTTGAGCGGGAAAGGGGGGATGGCTGTTTTTAAAAGGGGGGAGGGTGTGGCGATGGGGAAACTTCACTGCGCATTATTTCTCGAACGAATGTTTCCCGCCTATTTCGTTGGATAAGAGGCCTCTACAAATCCCCTCCCCTCTCCTCCCCTCCCTTCTTCTCCCCTCCTCTACCCCGCGCCTTCCCTTCCCCCCACCACACCACATCTCCCTCCTCTCACCTGTGCCTCCAGCGCCCCGGCACGGCTGTCAGCCTCCACGCTCACCACCTCAGCCTGCTTCACCCGTTCTGCCAGCAGCCCCGCCTGCACCTGCAGCTCCTCTATTCTCTCCACTGCCGCCCGCGCCGCCGCCTCCTTCCGCCCCGTGCGCACCACCGCCAGCTCCTGAACCACCGCCCTCCGCTCCTCCGCTGCCGTCCACGCCGCCGCCCGCGCCCGTGCCGCCCGCTCCACCTCCTCCCGCACTTTCTCGTTCGCCGCTGCTACTCTCTCCTCTGCCTCCTCTGCCACTGCTCGTTCATTCCTAAGCTGCCCCTTTGCCTCGTCCACCTGTGCCCGAAGCTCCCCGATTTCCTTCTCCACCTCGGCGTTCCTCTCCTCTCCCTCTGCCACCTTTAATTTCAGAGCTGAAATTTCCTCCTCCACCTCTCCCAACACGCGCACCTGCTGCACCCCCCCTGTCTGCTTCACCCTCAGCTCTTCCCTCATGGCTGTCTCTTTCACCTTAGCTGCCTCCAACTCCTCCTCCCAGAGGGCCTCTCTGCGTTTCAGCGCTTCGATCTCGGCCGTCCGTGACGCCACGTCAGCAAGGACCTGGCTGCTGGACGCTTCCAGCTCAGCGAGCCACTCACGCGCCTCTGCCAGCTGGGCAGATAAGGTCTCCACCCTGGCATTCGCTTCCTGAAGCTCAGGTGGAGCGTCAGGCGGAAGAGAGGTAACTCCCGTGCCTGTGGTAACATCGTAACCGTTGCTTATCGCGCTGCTGCCACTGTTGCTTGAATCACCACTGCTGCTGCTGCTGCTGCTGCTGTCACTGGCGTTGCTGGCGCCGTTGCTGGTCTGGTCTGAATCTGACTTTGGCAACCAGGAAGCGGGGTCAAAAAGGCCCTTCAGGGGGTCTGCTGCCCTCTCGCCCTGCTCCTCCTCTGTTGCTCGCTCCGCCAGTGCTGCTGCTGCTGCGTCCGCCTCTTGTGCCTTGGTCCTCACTTGGTGCTCCGCGGACTGGAGCAAGGAAAGCGAGGCGGGGGGAGGGAGGAGAAAATGAAGGCGAATCCGGGACAAGCTTTGCAATGCGCCAACATGACCTGAGCAACAAATGAAAGCTGGAAATCTGCCCGAGCAGCAGAGCATACCCACCTGAGCAACAGAGCGGGCAAAGCTGACGTCAGCGAGGAGCCACTTGTCAAAGAGCTCTCGCGAGCACTGCTCTTGCGCTTGCTGCGACGTCAGGGAGGAGCACGTGCATCAGGGCACACACCACACGAGCGGGGATAGCACACGTGAGGGGAGAGAGGAGGTATACAAGCAGGTGTAAGGAGGGATAGGATGCACGAAAGGGCAGAAAGTGCAAGGATTGCGCTGCTGCCTGTGGGACCGGTGATAGGGGTGATGGGGGTGACGGGGGAAACTGATGGGGGAAACTGATGGGGGAAACTGATGGGGGAAACTGATGGGGGAAACTGATGGGGGGAACTGATGGGGAAAACTGATGGGGGAAACTGATTGGGGGGAACTGATGGGGGAAACTGATATTGGAAACTGATGAATGGGGGAAATTGTGAAGATGCTGATGCTGATGCTGATGCTGATGCTCATGGTCATGCTGATGCTGATGCTGATGCTGATGCGCTGATGCTGATGCTGATGCTGATGCTGATGCGCTGATGCTGATGCTGATGCTGATGCTGATGCTGATGCTGATGCTGATGCTGATGCTGATGCTGATGCTGATGCTGATGCTGATGCTGATGCTGATGCTGATGCTGATGCTGATGCGCTGATGCTGATGCTGATGCTGATGCGCTGATGCTGATGCTGATGCGCTGATGCTGATGCTGATGCTGATGCTGATGCGCTGACGCTGATGCTGATGCGCTGATGCGCTGATGCTGATGCTGATGCCCTGATGCTGATGCTGATGCTGATGCTGATGCGCTGATGCTGATGCGCTGATGCTGATGCTGATGCTGATGCGCTGATGCTGATGCTGATGCGCTGATGCTGATGCTGATGCTGATGCGCTGATGCTGATGCTGATGCTGATGCGCTGATGCTGATGCTGATGCGCTGATGCTGATGCTGATGCTGATGCTGATGCGCTGATGCTGATGCTGATGCGCTGATGCGCTGATGCTGATGCTGATGCTGATGCTGATGCGCTGATGCTGATGCTGATGCTGATGCGCTGATGCTGATGCTGATGCTGATGCGCTGATGCTGATGCTGATGCTGATGCTGATGTGCTGATGCTGATGCTGATGCTGATGCTGATGCGCTGATGCTGATGCTGATGCTGATGCGCTGATGCTGATGCTGATGCTGATGCTAATGCTGATGCGCTGATGCTGATGCTGATTTGCTGATGCGCTGATGCTGATGCTGATGCTCTGATGCTGATGCTGATGCTGATGCTGATGCGCTGATGCTGATGCTGATGCTGATGCGCTGATGCTGATGCTGATGCTGATGCTGATGCTGATGCTGATGCGCTGATGCTGATGCTGATGCTGATGCTGGTGCGCTGATGCTGATGCGCTGATGCTGATGCGCTGATGCTGATGCTGATGCTGATGCGCTGATGCTGATGCTGATGCTGATGCTGGTGCGCTGATGCTGATGCGCTGATGCTGATGCGCTGATGCTGATGCTGATGCGCTGATGCTGATGCTGATGCTGATGCGCTGATGCTGATGCTCTGATGCTGACGCTGATGCTGATGCGCTGATGCTGATGCTGATGCTGATGCTGATGCTGATGCGCTGATGCTGATGCTGATGCGCTGATGCTGATGCTGATGCTGATGCTGATGCTGATGCGCTGATGCTGATGCTGATGCGCTGATGCTGATGCTGAAGCTGATGCGCAGATGCTGATGCTGATGCGTTGATGCTGATGCTGATGCTGATGCGCTGACGCTGATGCTGATGCGCTGATGCGCTGATGCGCTGATGCTGATGCTGATGCGCTGATGCTGATGCTGATGCTGATGCTGATGCGCTGATGCTGATGCTGATGCGCTGATGCTGATGCGCTGATGCTGATGCTGATGCGCTGATGCTGATGCGCTGATGCTGATGCTGATGCTGATGCGCTGATGCTGATGATGATGCTGATGCTGATGCGCTAATGCTGATGCTGATGCTGATGCTGATGCTGATGCTGATGCTGATGCGCTGATGCTGATGCCGATGCGCTGATGCTGATGCTGATCCTGATGCGCTGATGCTGATGCTGATGCGTTGATGCTGATGCTGATGCGCTGATGCTGATGCTGATGCTGATGCGCTGATGCTGACGCGCTGATGCTGACGCTGATGCTGATGCTGATGCTCTGATGCTGATGCTGATGCTGATGCTGATGCTGATGATGATGCTGATGCGCTGATGCTGATGCGCTGATGCTGATGCTGATGCTGATGCTGATGCTGATGATGATGCTGATGCGCTGATGCTGATGATGATGCGCTGATGCTGATGCTGATGCTGATGCTGATGCGCTGATGCTGATGCTGATGCGCTGATGCTGATGCTGATGCTGATGCGCTGACGCTGATGCTGATGCGCTGATGCGCTGATGCTGATGCTGATGCTGATGCTGATGCTGATGCGCTGATGCTGATGCTGATGCTGATGCTAATGCTGATGCGCTGATGCTGATGCTGATTTGCTGATGCGCTGATGCTGATGCTGATGCTCTGATGCTGATGCTGATGCTGATGCTGATGCGCTGATGCTGATGCTGATGCTGATGCTGATGCGCTGATGCTGATGCTGATGCTGATGCTGATGCTGATGCGCTGATGCTGATGCGCTGATGCTGATGCGGTGATGCTGATGCTGATGCTGATGCGCTGATGCTGATGCTGATGCTGATGCGCTGATGCTGATGCTTTGATGCTGACGCTGATGCTGATGCGCTGATGCTGATGCTGATGCTGATGCGCTGATGCTGATGCTGATGCTGATGCGCTGATGCTGATGCTGATGCTGATGCTGATGCTGATGCTGATGCTGATGCGCTGATGCTGATGCTGATGCGCTGATGCTGATGCTGAAGCTGATGCGCAGATGCTGATGCTGATGCGTTGATGCTGATGCTGATGCTGATGCTGATGCGCTGACGCTGATGCTGATGCGCTGATGCGCTGATGCTGATGCTGATGCGCTGATGCTGATGCTGATGCTGATGCGCTGATGCTGATGCTGATGCGCTGATGCTGATGCGCTGATGCTGATGCTGATGCTGATGCTGATGCGCTGATGCTGATGCGCTGATGCTGATGATGATGCTGATGCTGATGCGCTAATGCTGATGCTGATGCTGATGCTGATGCGCTGATGCTGATGCCGATGCGCTGATGCTGATGCTGATGCTGATGCGCTGATGCTGATGCTGATGCGTTGATGCTGATGCTGATGCGCTGATGCTGATGCTGATGCGCTGATGCTGACGCGCTGATGCTGACGCTGATGCTGATGCTGATGCGCTGATGCTGATGCTGATGCTGATGCTGATGATGATGCTGATGCTGATGCGCTGATGCTGATGATGATGCGCTGATGCTGATGCTGATGCTGATGCTGATGCGCTGATGCTGATGCTGATGCGCTGATGCTGATGCTGATGCTGATGCGCTGACGCTGATGCTGATGCGCTGATGCGCTGATGCTGATGCTGATGCGCTGATGCTGATGCTGATGCTGATGCTGATGCTGATGCGCTGATGCTGATGCTGATGCTGATGCGCTGATGCTGATGCGCTGATGCTGATGCTGATGCTGATGCGCTGATGCTCATGCTGATGCGCTGATGCTGATGCTGATGCTGATGCTGATGCGCTGATGCTGATGCTGATGCTGATGCTGATGCTGATGCGCTGATGCTGATGCTGATGCGCTGATGCTGATGCTGATGCTGATGCTGATGCGCTGATGCTGATGCTGATGCTGATGCGCTGATGCTGATGCTGATGCTGATGCGCTGATGCTGATGCTGATGCGCTGATGCTGATGCTGATGCTGATGCGCTGATGCTGATGCTAATGCGCTGATGCTGATGCTGATGCGCTGATGCTGATGCTGATGCTGACGCTGATGCGCTGATGCTGATGCTGATGCTGATGCGCTGATGCTGATGCTGATGCGCTGATGCGCTGATGCTGATGCTGATGCGCTGATGCTGATGCTGATGCTGATGCTGATGCGCTGATGCTGATGCTGATGCGCAAATGCTGATGCTGATGCTGATGCGCTGATGCTGATGCTGATGCTGATGCTGATGCTGATGCTGATGCGCTGATGCTGATGCTGATGCTGATGCTGATGCGCTGATGCTGATGCTGATGCTGATGCTGATGCTGATGCTGATGCTGATGCGCTGATGCTGATGCTGATGCTGATGCGCTGATGCTGATGCTGATGCTGATGCGCTGATGCTGATGCTGATGCTGATGCTGATGCGAATGCTGATGCTGATGCTGATGCGCTGATGCTGATGCTGATGCTGATGCTGATGCGCTGATGCTGATGCTGATGCTGATGCTGATGCTGATGCGCTGATGCTGATGCGCTGATGCTGATGCGGTGATGCTGATGCTGATGCTGATGCGCTGATGCTGATGCTGATGCTGATGCGCTGATGCTGATGCTCTGATGCTGACGCTGATGCTGATGCGCTGATGCTGATGCTGATGCTGATGCGCTGATGCTGATGCTGATGCTGATGCGCTGATGCTGATGCTGATGCTGATGCTGATGCTGATGCGCTGATGCTGATGCTGATGCGCTGATGCTGATGCTGAAGCTGATGCGCAGATGCTGATGCTGATGCGTTGATGCTGATGCTGATGCTGATGCGCTGACGCTGATGCTGATGCGCTGATGCGCTGATGCTGATGCTGATGCGCTGATGCTGATACTATGCTGATGCGCTGATGCTGATGCTGATGCGCTGATGCTGATGCGCTGATGCTGATGCTGATGCTGATGCTGATGCGCTGATGCTGATGCGCTGATGCTGATGATGATGCTGATGCTGATGCGCTAATGCTGATGCTGATGCTGATGCGCTGATGCTGATGCCGATGCGCTGATGCTGATGCTGATGCTGATGCGCTGATGCTGATGCTGATGCGTTGATGCTGATGCTGATGCGCTGATGCTGATGCTGATGCTGATGCGCTGATGCTGACGCGCTGATGCTGACGCTGATGCTGATG